GAACAGTGCCATGAGAACACCTGTTCTCATTTTCAGGTGACATTGTAAATAAAAAGCAGGAAGCATTATGTCCCGTAAAAGTAAACAAATTTGTTTGTCTTGGTGATTGGCTGAACAAGAAGTAGGACTGAATGGACTTGTAGGCTCTAAAGTTTTATTACATTGTTTTGTTTTTTAGTGCAGTTATATAACAAAAAAAATCTACATTTGTAAGTTGCACTTTCACTATAGAGATTGCACTATAGTACTTGTATGAGGTTAATTGAAAATTACTATTTCTTTTATCATTTTTACAGTGCAAATATTTGTAATAATAATATAAAGTGAACACTATACCCTTTGCCTTCTGTGTTGTAAACTGAAATAAAATATTTGAAAATGTTGAAAAACATCCAAAATATTTAATAAATTTCAATTGGTATTCTATTGTTTAACAGTGTGATTAAAACTGTGATTAAATCACAATTATTTTTTGAGTTAATTGCGTGAGTTAAGTGCCATTAATCGACAGCCCTAATTTTTAGGTATTTGAGTATATTTCCTCCTAAGAAAAACTTGGCAACACAGATAGTTGAGGTAAGCAGTTGCTTGTAAATCATGATCAACATGCTACTCCTTGAAAAGTTCCCCCCTTTTAGGGATTAACTTGTGAAGAAGAAAGAGAGCCAGAAAATTCAGCTGTGGTTATTTGAAACACCAATGTCTTTGCCTAAATGCTTTTGCCAGTCTCTCTCAGGCTTTTTGCGAGGCAGCACTAAATAATAGTGTTTGTTCTCTAATACATATGGATCTTACCAGGGTGGATTTGATTTAAATTAAATTGATTTAAATCACTAGTCAGGCAGACTCGATTTAATTATGGATTTCTACATAAAAGTGCATTCTTGTTGGTTGTTATAACCTTAATACATATTCTTCACAACTCAGAGATGGATGTAGGTTTCATTTTTAGAAGGTATACACGTTACATTTTTAAAGTGATTTATTTTGAAAACTTTTCAGATTAGTTTTACAGCTGTATCAGAAAATGAATGATTGTTTGGTTATTTCATTTACCAAAGGTAATTGAAGCAGATATTTATGAAGTCATTGGAAGGTGAACTATCTCCAATTCAACAGGTTAATCATTAATATTTGGAGGATTTTCTTGCCATGCTGTATTAGGAGGAGAACCTCACCAGACAGATATTTAAATTGTTTTATTTAACTAAAATAACTGGATTTTTTCTTCAACAGCACACAATATTTTAACAAAACAAGCATATGAATTTTTGAATTTAGTTAAACATTCAAGTTTTTAAAACATCAGGTTTGTTTTTGTTAAAAAATTGTTTTTAACTAAAATAGTTAAATGAAATATTTAAAAAACAAAAAGCAAAAATTAAATAGACTATGTCAGCAAGGTCAACATGAGAAACTTAAAATGTTGGCTTCTGCAGCTAACTCAGTCATCTTCACCTTCGTTTTCCAGTTTGTTCATAATCTGGAAAAGAAAAACAAGCTTGCCTGCTTTTCCAGGTCCCAAATGATTTCTCAATTAGGAATGAATTAGTCCAGAGGAAGACAATATTCTTTCTACACGGGCAGAAGAAGTGACTGCTGTTAAAAGTGAGATTATCACTTCAACAGTCTCTGTATCCAAGTGCTTAAGTGACTTCCACCAGTTCACTGGTGTGACTTTCTTTAAAACATCATCAGCAAACAGATTTCTTGAATGGTTCACCCTCAGCTCTGAGGTTTATTATAGTTGGCATTATGGAGGGATGATGGCTGGATGTCCATGTCATAGCCAGCTCCTCTTCTTCAGCAGTTAAGGTTTGACCCTGGTACCGAGTATTGAGAATATTTGCAAGAAAATGAGCTGGAGATAGTGCTTGTTCCATTCGTTTTTTTAATGCTTCTAATTTAACTCTGTCATTGCATTTTTCTCTTTTTAAGATCTCACTCGGTTCCTTCCAAATTTCAACAGCGTCAGCAATAAAGCTGCTATTTCCCTGCATTTTGTTCAAGGCTCCAGAAATAGGCTTCAGGCTACTCAGCATCTGTTCAACATTTCTCTTAAGCCCAATGTTGAGAACTTTGGCTCTGACAGTGCCATCTATTTTTTCACGATTTTGTTCACAAATAGTCATCAGATTCGGCCAGTGCTTGATATAGTGCTCAAAACAGTCCACTACTGAGTTCCATTGCACGTCTTGTGGGAGGGTTAGCTTGGCTCCTTCCACCTTTTTTCAGAGCAGCTGCTGCAAAGTGGTTGTTACAGAAGAATTTTGCAATTTCAACATTAGCCTTTATTTTTGGAACACTGAAGTCTTTAGCTAGAAGGTGCATCAAATGAGCACTGCAACCATATGTTATTAGCTTGGGACTCTCTTCACTGTCTTCTAAATTTCTTCTCATCTTGGATACATTTGCAGCATTGCCTGTGACCAAGCTGCGTACAAGACATTTGAATTCCCCCCCACACACAGTTTGTTATAGCTTTTACTGCTACGTCTTGTAAGTATTCTGCTGTGTGTGCATTTCCTGATGCATCAATTATTTCTGTAAGGAAGACATTCCCTTCTTCTGTTGTCACACAAGCATATACAACAGGATGATTGTGGACATTGCTCCACCCATCAAGACTCAGGTTAACAATGTCACCCTCTAGACCAGGGGTCTCAAACCCAACTTACCTTAGGGCCAGTGCCAGTCCTCAGTTCTCCCAGCGGGCCAATAATGTCACTCATGCCTCCCAGAACCCGCCTCTCAAACTCTGCCCCCCTAACTCCGCCCCCCCTACCCGCCTAAGGCTCTGGGAGGGAGTTTGGGTGTGGGAGGTGGTCTGGGGTAGGGGATTGGTGTGCAGGCTCTGGGAGGGAGTTTGGGCAGGAGAGAGGGTCTGGGGTGCAGACTCGGGGATGGAGTTTGGGTGCTGGTGCAGGAGGAGGGGGAAGGGCTGCAGGCTCTTGGAGGGAGTTTGGGGGCGGCAGGGGGTGTGTGGGAAGGGGATGCAGGCTCTGGGAGGGAGGTGCAGCACTTACCTGGGGCTCCCCCAGGCACCACCCCCACAGCTTCCCACTGTCTGCAGGGGCGCTCAGGGCGGGGGCAGCGCGCAGAGGCACAGCCCTGCCCCAGGGAGGGACCCGCAGTCACTGGAGCGAGCGCACAGGAAGCCGCTGAGCTCCGCTGTGCTGCCGGTGGTGGGCAGGGCCTCAGGTGATGCGCGGGTGGGGGGTGGCAACGGGGCCAAGGGAGAGACCTGGCCCGAAAATTGCTGGAGCCCTGCAGGACACATTGGGGAGGTTCTCGGGCCGCAGATGGCCCGTGGGCCGGGAGTTTGAGACCCCTGTGCTAGACCTTTTGCACACTGCTCAATTTCTCTTTCATACACTTTATCCAGCAATTTGCCTGCGACCTCTGCTCTGTTGGGTGGACTGTATCCTGGTCTTAATGACTGAACCATGTTAATGAAGTGTGGGTTCTCAATCATACGGAAAGGAGAATTTGTTGCATAAACAAACCAAGCAATTTTTTCATCAGTTACCTCTTTTTGTAATCTGCTGGTTCTTATCACAAACTTATCTATGGTTGTTTCTGGATGACGGAGATTTTTTCTTTTTTTGCTACAGGTGATCTACTGTGGCTATGTGACATACATGATGTGACTGAAACACTGTCATTGGCAGATAACTCTGAAACTATAGAAAATGATGGTGATCTAGAAGGTGGATAGTCTTCAGAATCCTGTAGGTTGAGGATGGATTCTCCTAAACAAAATAAGTCAGTGCAGTTATTTAATTATTACCACCATACCACTCATTTAGTATTACTCATTGCATTCACTGACACTCAGTACTACTTTAAAGGTGAAATTGTAAAAGGAAGATCGCCTATTTCAGCTATTTATTTTTTAACACAACTGCATCTAAAATGATAGTATCATAGAGTAACAACTATATTTTTTGCTCAAACATGAAAATTCAAGAATAGTCCAGAAGGAAGACAGGCAGCCCTTAAGAAAGGAGTACGAAATTTAAAAAAAAAAAAAATGTTTACCAACCTGAAGATTCTGCATGTTCAGACATGTTCCTTTCATCACCTTCAACTCTGCTTCCTCCTGAGAAGGAATGCTTCTCATGATGTTGTTTCATTCAGGCAACCAGGCCTTGCATTTCTTTGTTGCACTGTTTGCATTTTGCACGCATGCCTGTCTTACCCACAGGTAGAGGAACTTCTTTAAAATATTCCCAAACTGGGTCTCTTTTATGGCCTGCTGCCATTACAGGTTTTCCCTTCTAGTGACAGAATGGTATGGTAGACCTCAAATCAATGAAGACTACACTCAGAAAGACCTCAAGACTTCTGGAATATGCTGCTCAAACAGTTTCACTTTCACTCCTTGTCCAGATCTATTCCGCCCCCAACAGTCTTCTATTCATTGAAGTATTTGAAACTTTGCACTTTTAGAGAGAGGTAAAGGATTGACTCTGTGTACATAAATTTGCACAGGGACAATAGGGTTGAGGTTTGTTATTTCTCACCTCTCTATATAATTTATCTAAAAACATTTTTGCTGTTAACAAGCATGTTATCTCTGGAGACACAAAGCCACAGTTTGAGAACTGCAAAACTAAGCATCTCTGATGGTATCTTCCAGACTGAGCACTGAGTCCCATTGGGTAGATAGAAAGATTAACCTAAATAATCTATACAGAAGCCCCTGGAATCCCATAAGATTGGGTCCCTAATCCATGGACTATTGGAACTCATTTAAAAAACTTTCCTTAGACTTTACATGAATATATTGTCTCATACTATAGAATTAGAATTTATAATCCTTATTCCATGAGGAGGTATCTTTGAGCTATAATGTATCTTAATTAAAACTATCTTTATATAGGTTTTTTTCCTTAAGCATTTTATAAGAAAAAAATCAGATTTAAATAAAAAAAAATCAGATTTTATTTTATTTTATCTTTTTTAAAACATTGATTTTTATCCACCCTGGATCTTACCATAACAAAGAGTGCAGCGCTGAAATGTTTCCAACAATGGCTCATAGCTGTTCTCTTGATTAATATTTATTACCTGGAAGAATCCAGTATCATCCATCTAGACAGAACAATAATAAAAGGATTTAGTGCAGAAGGCAAGTGGTGAGTTTTACCTTAAAACAGTTTATTTGAATGCTGTACAACTGTGTTCACATCAGGCATTCATAGAGAATTACATTCATTCCTAGGTGTCAGGCATTCAACCCCTAAGCCACCTATAACCAACAGCAATTTTGTATATTCTCCAGCATGACAAACTTCAGTGACCCTGAAAACCTCTAGAGAAACCTTCAATTTCCCAACTACCCTTCAGTGATGAACTTGGGTTCTGTCGGTCTTTGCACTGGGATCCAGCTTGGCACCTCCACACTAAAGTTTTGCCCTCTATAGGAGCTGGAGTGTTCCAAATCTCAGAGTCAGCCAACTTGTGTGATTTGGAGTGTTTCATCTGACACACAGCTAATTCAGTAGAAAACTGGTGTGACTTTAGATGAGTGTCCAAAAATAAGGCACTGCATACTCTAGTTTTCCAAGCAGAAGTATGGATTGAGAATAATTCTCAAAACAAAAATGCTACATTGAGTGTTTCCAAACACTAGCTACTCCTTACAAAGTGATGACCCCTGTCCTTCAGTGTCTCCTTGTACAGAATTCCCATTGACTTCAATGTAGGGGCTAAAAGGACCGTTTGCTGAAACTGGGAATCAGTGATACCAGGCATCTTATTCTATTCTGAAATGGTTCTCTTTCCACTGATGTAATGTAACACAAGCTATGAGTTATTATGTAAAGGGAGAGGGGAAAAGGGGCAGAAGTGAATGATGCAGAAAAATTCTATGCCCACCTTCTGGGCTTGCTTAGGAATTTTTATTCTTAGCCAACAATGATTTGGCAGACTATTGGGTCTGATATATTTAAGAAACATGCCATGTATCCCTCAACTACCTATTTCTAGATTTCTTACTCCATGCTTCCATCTCTCACCCTTTAAACAGGCCTTTAAATTACTGTAAAGCCCAAACCTGTAGCCTTTAAAAAAAAATACTGTCACAGGTTGACACTGGCCCTTTAAGAGAGAAGAGGCCAGTACACCTATGACTGGTCAGTTGACCCCCAATTAGGCTTAAAAGAGGGCACCTCAGTTTGGCCTTAGAGGGGAGAGAGAGACCCAGTGAGTCAGAGCTGCTCAAGAGCAATGTCTGAAAAGGACAGAGAAGGGCAGTTGTGAGCTGTCCAAGGAGAAGAGGAGAGAGACAGGGAGAAACAGCAGCAATGGAGAGCTGTACAGAGAGCCACTGGAAAGAGCAAGAGGTCAGTGGTGGGACCTGGCCAGAGCTGGGGAACCCTGAGGAGCTAAAAGAGAGCTCATGCAGAAGCCCCTATGAAGAAGGGGAAAAACCTGGCCGTTTGGGAGAAGCTGAGCCCAAAGCAAGAAGGATTGATGCTGGAGGGGGAACCTGGGATAGGGGTCACAGGCAGAGAGGCCTGTGAGAGTAGAACACTAGGGGAAGCCCCCTTGCAGCAAGCCTGAGTGGAGGGCTGCAGGAACCAGAGCCCAAAACAAGGGGGTTGTTCTGGAGGGATATTCCCTGAGCAGGGGTAGGACTCTTAGGGAGGGAAGCCTGGCTCAGAGGAACACTGTGGAGAGTTCTGTCCCAGGAGACCTCTCTTGGGGATATGGGAGAAGAGTTGTAGGTCTTGGAACACCCAGGTAGATGCCCTGGAGAGTGGGGCCCTAGAACAGGGGCTAAAGCAACCGGGACAGAGTGATTAGTGACTCTCGGGTGACCTTTGCACGGGATTGATGAGCTGCTGCGTTGTAACCATGTTTAACTTTGGGGGTTTGAGAAGAACTGTTTTACTAAGAGTCATCTGTGGACTGTGACCCTTTTACTAATATAAAGGGTTTGAATTTTCTGCTGAGAGAGACAATGTTCCTATCCACAGGTGGATTCCAAGGGGAAACTGAGGTAGATACAGCACCCTGCTGCAGAAGGGCTCCTTGTGTAGGGGCCGTCCTACTCCACATCCCTTTGTTAAACTGATTTCTCTTAATGGTGTCTTCAACTATATATTGGTTTAGCTTCTAGTCTTTCTCCTTGAAAGAGATTACAGGGTTTCCAAGGAAATCCATGACATGCTTTATCGTAAAGCAATTTTTACAACATCAAAGCACAGAATGTTGAAGCTGTAAAATTCCAACTGATTTTTCTCCTTTCCAGCAAAAAATGCTGCAAAAAGAACTCTCTCTTCTGTGCTTAGTTGTGCTGCAGTACGTTCTCTGAACACACTTTTAGACACCGAGTAATGAGTGCTGTAAGTGCTCGAGTCCTGCTCATCTTGCTCATGTGATCAGCATTTGGCCCAAGACAGCGTTCTCCTATAATGGTACTGTGGTAACAGGAAATGTCATCACAGAACAAGTTAGCTGAACAGGAACTATATGTAACATTAGATGCCCCAAACTGTGTTAGAGAAACATTAAAGTTGTACTGACTGTTAAAATAAGGAAAAAAAATATATAGAAATCCAAACTTATATTTCCTACAGCTATGCAAACTTAGCCACATTGCACAGATCTGCTCTTTGATCTGTTCCTGCTGCTAAATCCAGACTGAAATTGCTCTGCTACCCTAAGACAATGACTGAAGTGTGGGTCTCCATATTCAGTGTGCCTCAGTGATTTCCATACCAAATCTGCACAGTTTGCAAGAAGATATTTTTTCTGTCTGACCCCCCACCAACTCAGCTAAGCTGTTGACAGTCAACTTGGGTTCTTTCCATTTCACACACCATCAATGCTAATACGGATTCTGCAGGCTGAATTATTCCCTCAGCTACAAGTATGCAACCCTGTTATCGTTAGATTATGTAACCAGTGATACCTCTGCAAGCCACCGCATAATTAAGAATTAAAGTGTTTTTCTTCATAAGATGCCCTGCTCTCTCTACCACTGTTATTTGAAAGATTTCCTTGTCACAAATGCTAATAGTTCCACAAACACATTGCTTCGGTAGTGAACTTTACAGCTTTCAAGCACACTGGGTCTGATTCTCCACTGCCTTGCCCCTTGTGTAGTCGTCATTTACCCCCCAAGCAGAGTGGGTGGAACACACCACTATTCTGGTTAGGTACCGTTTTGCTGCCATTCTGCACTCACTTTGCACAGGGGTAAAATGACAGACAATGTCAGGTGTAAGGCAGTGGAGAATCAGGCCAGGTTTTCTTGAATTTATTAAATACTCTGATTAAGCACCAAGTCCTACAATTTTTACAAAATGCATAGTCCTTATAGAAGTAGTTCTACTGACTTGAATGGGATCACTAGCATTAATAAGGACTATTCATGTAAGTGCTGCAGGATTTGACCCAATATATGATCACAAATAACCAATACAATGAGCAAGATCTGTCCTTGGTGTAACTCCACTGAAGATAATGGAGTTACACCAAAGGACGAATGTGACCCACTATGTTTTGAAGGCGGTGAAATACAAAGTCTAGTTACTGAACATCAAAAAGAAAACGTTTGTGGAGTTCTTACCGCAAAAGCACGACTGAGGAGGGGAACATCATTAAAAGCGAGAACTACTGGAACAATATCAAATGCAACATACTCCAGAACTGCTGTGTTAATAGAAAATTCATCTGCAGATGGCCCATTGCTAAAAAACACTGCTACTTTTCTCACATTAGGACCTTGGCGAGTTCGTTTGAAAACATTCTTGGCAACGAATCTCATCGCTCCGGCAATATCCCGTTCACCTGAGGATCTCTCATAAGCCACATTATTAAGTTTGTTGAGGAGCTGATTCTTGTTGTAGAACTCAGAGAAGCGGATTAGATAACGAGTATTGGAATTGTAGGACACAACAGCAACTCTAGCTCCCACTGGGCAGTTGCTGTCTCTAATTTTGGTGGCATTCACTACTGATATTACAATCTCTCTCATTCTTTCAAATAACTGGGATGTGACGTCCTGGGATATTTCCAAAGCAAACACTAGTTCCGTTGGATATACTGGGCATTCCGGTTTTTCTAGAAGATAAAAAACAGTTGTTATACAAATCACACAAGATAAAAAATGCAAGCTATTTTAAAGTGATTAATAACTATTTCATTTTACTTTCCCTAGATAGCCTGATATGTTGCATGCCATCTAGGGACTCACTCCACAGAAAATGATACAAGGGCAAGTCGTGCTGGGGCACAGTTCAGGAATGCAATGAGACTGAGGAGTGCGTGTGCTGGACACAATTGCAATCCCTGTACTCCTTCGAACAGGGAGGAAGGGAGGGGCAGGGAGAATCCAAAGTCATAGTCTTGCCCCCTCCCATACCACATACAGGTTAGCGAAACTGGCGGAGTGCAGAGGGGGGATTATGGAGCACTTCCCTTCCTGTCTGGAAGGTCCAGAAGGGATTGCCTTTCCTGAGGCACAATCACTCCTGGAGCACTCCCGGTGGTAACGTGGTTCTGTACTGCCCCCAGCTCCATGCTCATCAGGCACAATGGGTCCTACCATGTCTATTGTACTTTACTTAAATGCAACACTAAGTCTTGGAAAAGCATGGGTTGCATCTATGATTAAATACATTTCAGTGCCACAGTTTAGTGGCTCCAAATGGTAGTAGAAGCACATGATGTTCGGAAAGACAGCTGAAAATAAAGCTAGTGAACAGAAAGGAAATGGTAATCTAAGCTCATGGTATGGGCCATAAAGAGGACCATGATGGTACCCAAAGGTTGTTATAACATAAGAGAAAACTCAGAGAAAAGAGAAACACCAAAATGACTAACAAATGAAAAGAATTGGTAGGTAAGGTCCCGTGGGAAGAAAATTTAAGGGCTAAAGGAGTTCACAGGAGAGCTGTGAAACAGAAGTTTCTCAAAGAGACGGCATTGAGCAACAGCAAACTATCCTCATGCAAAGGAAAGATAGGAAGAATAATAAGAGGACAATATGGCTCCATGAGGAGCTCTTTAATAGTCTGACAATCAAAAAGGAATCCTACAAAGAGTGGACACATGGACAAATTACTAAGGATTAATACAAAAGAATAGCGCAAGCAAGTAGGGACAAAATCAGAAAGGCTAAGGCACAAAATGTACAAGGGACATAAAAAGGCAACAACAAGAGGTTCTAACAATACATTAGGAGAAGAGAAAGATGAAGGAAAGTATAGGTCCTTTACTTAGCTATGAAAAAGAGCTAATAACTGGATGGCATCAAGAAGGCTGAGATGTTTAATGCCTGTTTTGCTTCAGTCTTCTCTAAAAAGGTAAACTGTGACCAGCTGCTTAACACAATTAATATTAACAACAAAGGGGAAGGAACACAAGCCAAAATAGGGGAAGAACAAGTTAAAGAATATTTAGATAAGGAATATGTATTCTAGTCAGCAGGGCCTGATGAAATTCACCCTATTGTACTTAAGGAACTAGGCTGAAGGAATCTTGGAACCATTAGTGATTATCTTTTAGAACTCATGGAAGTTGGGCGAGGTCCCAGAGGGCTAGAGAAGGGCAAACATAGCACTTATCTTTAAAAAGCGGAACAAAGAGGATCCAGGGAATTAAAGACCTAAATTTCAATATCTGGAAAGATACTGGAACAAATTATTAAACAATTAATTTGTAAGCACCTAGAGGATAACAGGATTATAAATCATAGCCAACGTAGACATGTCAAGAACAAATCATACCTAAAAAACAATTTTCTTCTTTGACAGGGTTACTGGCCTAGTGGATAGGTGGAAAGCAGTAGACAAGATATATCTTGATTTTAGTAGGGCTTTTGACACAGTCCCACATGACAGTCTCATAAGCAAGCTAGGGAAATATGGTTTAAATAAATTATTAAAAAGTGGGTACACAACTAGTTGATTGATAACTATTCTCTGAATAGAGTCTATGGTCCACTGTCAAAGTGGGGAGACTTATCTAGTGGAGTCATGCAGAGGTCTGACATAGATCCAGCACTATTCAACGTTTTCATTAAATGACTTGGACAATGTAGTGAAGCTTAGGTTATACTTATAAAATTTGCAGATGACACCAAGCTGGGAGGGGTTGAAAGCACTTTGGAGGACCGGATTAGAATTCAAAATGACCATGATAAATTGGAGAATTGGTCTAAAATCAACAAGATGAAATACAATAAAGACATGTGCAAAGTACTACACTTAGGATAAATAAAATGCACAGTTACAAAATGAGAAATAGCTGGCTAGGTCGTGGTACTACTGAAAGGGATATGGGGGTGATATTGGATCACAAATTGAATGAGTTAACAATGTGATGCAGTTGCAAAAAAGGCTAATATTCTGGGATATATTAACAGGAGTGTCATATGTAAGGCACACAAGGTAATTGTCCTGCTCTACTTGACACTGGTGAAGCCTCAGCAGGAGTACTGCATCCAGTTCTAGGCACCATGCTTTAAGAAAGATGTGGACAAATTAGAGTGTGTGTCCAGAGAAGAGCAACAAAACTGATAAAAGATTTAGAAAAGCTGACCTATGAGGAAAGGTTAAAAACTGGACAGGTTTCGTCTTGAGAAAAGAAGGCTGATGGGGGACCTGGTAAAAGTCTTAAAATATATTAAGGGTTGTTATAAAGAGGATGGTGATCGATTATTCTCCATGTCCACTGAAGGTAGGACAATAAATAATAGGCTTAATCTGCAGTAAGGGAGATTTAGGTTAGGTATTAGAAAAAACTTTCTAACTACAGTATAAGGATTGTTGAGGTTGTGGAATCTCCATCATTGAAGGATTTTCAGAACAGATTAGACAAACACCTGTCAGGGATGGTCTTGCCTCAGTGCAGGAGGCTGGACTAGATGACCTTTCAAGATCCCCTCCAGCACTACATTTCTATGATTAATCTATCACCAATGAGTGATGAGGTAACTTGGCTGAAATGGTGAGTCAATTAACTGTAGAAACCAAGCTAGCTCTTTAATGGGGTGTGGATCAGGAATGGAGTGTGTCAGAGACTCGGAGGTTAGGCCATAAAGTCATGGAACTGAAACAGATCTTGAGGGAAGGCAAAAGCAGAAAAGCAAATCAAGATCAGAACACTGACAGAGAAACTATGGTTTGATAAGGTTGGATTTTTTTGGGGAGTGGGATGTAAAGCAGCAAGGAGGAGTGGAAGGGGGTGAAGATAAGAACACATATGGAGGGCTGGAGAAGGGGAATGTGACAGAATATAGTCCTTTGTCCACACCCTATACTGTATTGTAATTATCTTTGTATGAAGTATGCCTTGTGAGGTATCATTTGAAAACTCACAATTCGCTGGTCATTATTATCCTGATAAAATATGTGTGGCAACATTGTATATGAAGATATAAGATTCCACTGTATGGCGTTATTAACACTTTCCAAACTGAGGTTGGCATACAGGTCTGTCTCAAACAAAGGAATATGTGCTCTGCTTCATTTGCGTTTAAGCAGTCAGAGTCATTGAGCGATCAGAAAGGTGAGGAAAACACAGCAGGGAACGTCCTTCTCCATAGACTCTGTCTCCTGAATCTCAGTTGGAAATGTATTCAAGAATGAGATTAACACTATAAAAAAGAAAAGGAGTACTTGTGGCACCTTAGAGACTAACAAATTTATTTGAGCATAAGCTTTCGTGAGCTACAGCTCACTTCATCGGATGTCACGAAAGCTTATGCTCAAATAAATTTGTTAGCCTCTAAGGTGCCACAAGTACTCCTTTTCTTTTTGTGAATACAGACTAACATGGCTGCTACTCTGAAAACTATAAAAAAGAGGAACAAACGCCCCAAGCTTCCATGCTGGAGGCTGTTTGTGAGCAGTCAAACATTGTAAAGGGCATCCCAGGTTAGAGGGCATGGTGACACAGCTATTCGTTAGTCTGGATTGTACCCTGGATATGTCAGAGTCAGAGAACAAAATTCATCACCAGTTTGAAGAAGTGAGGCAACACTGGAATGTTTAGAGAGAGTGGACCCTGTCTGCCTCCTTAAGAGAGACCAGAAAAACAAAAAAAAAAGGAGCAAGAACAACACAGGAAAAGCAACAAGACAAAGATATAAGAGAAATAAAAAATACAAAAGAGGACTATATACTGCTTTGGAACTGGTAAAAGTAAAATTCCAGGATATTAGCTATATGGAGGCTTTACCACTATCGAAGACAAATGATGCAAAGGATTGAGGATGCTAATACACCAAGAAGCAAATCAGAAACATACAAGAAAACGCCACGAGAATATAAGCTGAAAATATTCATACAATGGGAATCAGTGATTGACTGGACCGTAAACTTAAAAGATTTGTGGAACTAAAAATATATCCTTCTTTTTAGTTCAGTGCATGATCTTACCAACTTCAGTACATCTGAAACTGCAAATATATGCAGACTGTGAGGACAGCAAACTCATAAGTGTGAATTGTTGTCAAGGGTGACACTCAATGTGAAGAAATTCTTGATTAAAGGAAGAATACTGGTTTCTCATTCCTGCTGTGGAAGCAGCAATCACAACACACAACAATCACTCTGACCAGTTAAAGAGAAGCACTGATGGCCCCTTTCTGATCACATGTCCAATCCTCTTCATCCCACAGTGGAGGACTCAATTCAGGGCCTTGAAAATTGTGAGTATAAAAGTAGCACTCTGAGAAGGCCAATGAGAACTTCTGGGAGTGAGAGGAGAAGAAAACAATGGGGTAGGTTTTCCCAAGGGATTTCCTCTGAAAAGTATATTTATTTGCAAAGTTGCCTCAGATGCTAGGTACTTCATCAGATATCGAGGAAGACGAATGAAGTTTTAAGGCAAAATCATCCTACAATTCCCACAAACGTGAGTAAACCTCAAAGAGCCATAGAAGTAAAACCTTATGTCATGTGAGCTATCCAATTGACTATAAAGTTACTCATGTGAGGGCTGCAGGGTAAGTGACATAATTTGCAGTTTTAGTGGTTAAAAGGCAAGTAATCCAGAGAGATGCACCATAAGTATCTTTACAATAATGGCCTAAATTTCAGATCATCCACATCTCCCACTGCATTGAATGGAAATGCAGATGTTCAGAACCTCTCAAAATCAGGTAACAAAGGAACTAGAATAACTCAGAAGGACACAGGGCCAGGAGCTAAGTGTTATTTTGTTGTTTTTTTCTAGCTGTAGCTGGAAAGCAAGATATCAAGATAGACAGGGATCAACTGAACTCTAGTTTATGTTGTCTTATCTAGTCACTGAACTCTGCTGATACAATATTAGGTAATGGGGATTCACACAGCCAGCACTAGCTGAACTGAAGTTCTCAAAAACAGAGGTAAAGCAGGGTGAATATTTTAAAATCTGCATCAGTACAGCATGCTCAGAGACAAGCTATCAATGAGGAAATAAAGCAGAAAGGGTATGCCTATTGGAAGAAAAGTCTGACAAATTAAGAAGTAGTGATATGATGGGCAGGGAATGAGAGGCATGCTCTCTTTACAGAATTGCAGAACTACAATTGTTCCGCTTAGTTAGCCAGAGACAAACAGTGGCTGATCTATCAGCAGGTGGGGAGCTTAAAGAAGTGAAAGTCCAGACCAAAACTGGTACTCCAGATCAAAAGTGAGGTCTTTACCTAAACCACCTTCCCAGACACATTGATACATTAAGATTTTAGTTAAAATAATGTAATAATAAACAAACAGTACTCACCCCGCCAACAAGCTAAACAAAAAAGGGAAAAAATTATATAGCATGTTTTTAAAACAATCCTAAAATCTCTTTAAAAAAAGAAAATGTGTACAGTCATGGATTGCACATCTATAATTTCACAGCATTCCCTGTGCATGCAAAACACTCACTGGTTTCAGTGGAAGTTGTTAGGTGCACAGGGAGTTCAGCTTCTGTCCCTGAATTTGCATTGCATGTTCTTATTGTAGATTTCTACGGTCCCTGGTTTCTAACAGCGTTTAGAGAAATAGATGTAACTCGGCAAATGATCCAAACTCCTGACTTTGTTTCGGCAAATTCCACGTTCAAGACACTTGACTGAAACATTCTAATGTGTTCCCAAATATTCTTTGCTTAGCCTAGCTCAGCTCAGCTGAACTTTCACTGAAGATCAAGATTAGTCACATGAGTAAGGGTCCATAATCTGTATTTAAGATTAAATTACATTATTTTATGTAAATCACTTACTTATCTTCCTTTCAGGGCACTCGGGGCACCTTCATTATTCCTACAGACACTAGCCCTTTCCAAGTGCCCCAAGCACCTAATTTCCATGAAGGCTATTTTATACACAACAAAGGGAACACAGATCCCTCTAACAGCTACTGCCATTTAAAACAAAGTCTTATATTTCAAAAGAGGGTTTTTTGTTTGTTTCGTAATTTTTGAACTTTCAAAGGAAATCAGAGAAGCATGTTAGAAATGTTCATGCAGAGTTACCGACTGATTACTAGAATCAATAGATGTTTTCCAATTCACTTAGTACACGGTACAAACATAGCTAAAACAGCCTCATAAAAAGGATCTACTGTGAGCTAAAAATACTCTCTGAAATGAAGGTTGTTTACTTGTCAAGCAGTTACTCTCTTTTGCACGTAAATGGCCGTTGTGTGTAAATTGAAAAATAAGTGGTCGGTAGAACTTTATTTTCTTTCCCTAAAATATCACTTCTAGTGCTGACCCTTTGGGTGAGGCAATTTTATAAAGCAAGATACAGTACTTACGGCTGTGTCTGCGCACGTAGTCAATGAGTTCACATGGCTGCAGAACACAAACAAAACGAAGAGAAAGAAAGGAATTCTTAGCTGATGAAGTGCTTTATTTCTTAATGTATACTGAATGTAGAACATGCCAGAGATACATACGGGAAAAGGGTGCAGTCCCATTGTTCCTTTAGCGCCCTATAAGAACAAGATTGTAGATTACTAGATAATTTAAAGCTTTCAACTGCCTGGATAATTAAAATAATTCAACTGCGAAAATGTCTTGTACAACAGGACAATCATACCAGAACTTGACTGTACTGTATATTTTCTCTCTATTCATTTAATATGTATTGTGGTATGCTGGCAATTTAAGTTCCAGAATGGTGGGATCATGATACCCAAACAGAAACAGAACGAGTTAATTTTATTTTAATTGGGTTTGGGGAGAGAGAGAAGAATGAATAAATAGTTAATATATATGGGAATCCAAGTGTTCAGCACCTTTGAAAATCAGGTGTAACGTTGTTGCCCTTAAGCATCAGTCCAATATATCTTTGTGTGACATTACTTGGGTATAAGCAGCAGTAATGATTACTAACAAAAATTAGATTTGAGTGGAGTCCAGGTTCAATTTCTGAGATGAGTGAAATCTCAGCTCACTTTTATTGGGATCTTTTAATTCCAGCCTGTGATTACAAAAAACTCTCTGAAAACTTCAGACATGGCTAGAAAAGATTCCAAAAACCAGATATATGTTCCTAATTTTAAAAAAATATTGCAACACACGTGTTGTTCTTTAATTGCCAGTTTTCAGGAGAGGCCCAAGGTCCAAATGAAAAAAAGGTTGCAACTACATTTTAAGTTCAATTAGGCATTTAAATACTTGTCTAGATTTGCATGCAAAATTAGATTTGGGCATCTAAATAATCATTTGCACATGCAAATACCTGATTTGTGCTCTCAGTTGTAGTAGAGTGAAAATTTAGACACACAATTACATGCATAGACTTTGGGTCTCTTTTTTGAAAATCTGACCCTAGAATTTTAGTTCAAAGTATTGTAACATAATTTGATATACAAACAAACACACAAACTTATTGTCATATTGCTGGTGAAAATACAGAATTAGCATTTTCAAAGTGACATAACCAAGCAGCTTACAAGATACCTACCTCCAGCACCCCAAAATGTGAGTGTATTAATGATTTAGACTATTGAACGCATACTGTAGCCTGAGACAGGGAGAAAAAATCACCTATCCTCACCTTCAAATTTAAAGGGAGTACCTTTTCATGCAAATAAAATTACATGCACTTAATGTGGTCAATTCATACCCTGGGTCCCAGAGGTCCCCTGTCTCCTGGAATTCCCTTCTCACCAGGATAACCTGCAACACCCTGGAAACATTGGCATAAATTAGACAGACAGACAATCTACAAATGGTATATACAGCAGTTACGATACTATTGCTTACTTCTCTACTCTAGGGCCCAGATCTCCATTTTATTAATGCCAGTTTTACATGAGTTTAACTCCATTCTATTCCATGGATATACTCTATTCCATGGATATAGAATAAAACCTGATTTATAGCTTGGTGAGAAGAGAATCAGGCCCTGTATATTTTCACATATAACAATCCTTAAAAGAAGAAAAATAGGACGGCAGCATACTATTACTTTTCTTTGGGTGGTTCAGCTGAATGCTAGCAACGTTTACTGTACAGTGACTCAGGAGATGGGGATTCTGCTCCCACCTCTACTATGGACTCTGTGTGTAACCTTGGGAAAGTCACTTAACTTCTCTGTGACTCAGTTTCCTCATGGTAAAATGGGAACAACACCACTTGCCTGCCTGCCTACACCTCACAAAGTCACTGAGGCTAAATTCATTCAGATTGGTAAAGTGCTTTGATATTTTTGGATAGGAGGTGCTACATAAGTGTCCCACTCCTTCGATCCCTAGTTATGCACCCCTAACCAATTTCAGCCATCCCTGACACAACCTCTGCACCAGGGGGGCGAGTGCAGCGGAAGTAAAGCCAGCTATGCTGGTCCAAGGTTCTCCTCCCATGCTGGCACACCATTTGAACACCATTTTAAGGTCATATTGCACAGCTCCAGCAGTGGACAGTGACCTTAGCATGACCAAGGACCTGGCCCTTGGCAAGGGACCTGACTACCTCAGAAAAGCTTCTTCTGGCCCAGACGTGAGGGTGCTACCAATTAAACTACCTTAGCACAACGTATACATTTATAACCCCAATGGCATGCTGCCTCTCCTGGTTCATTAATGTCTGTTGGAAAAATTTTCATAAGGCTCTAAGTTCTTCGGGAGTATAAAGGTTTCACTGACTTTCCATGGGACTGAGGTTCCTAAATCACTCAGATGCTTTTAAAATTTTACCCTGTGTTAGAAATTAATGGATAATGGGCACCATACCACGTATAATATCTAATCAATAACATTTTACATGTACCAAAAAAAAAAAAAAAAATTCGGCTCCCATTGAAGTTAAAGGCAAAAGTCTCTGATTTCAGAGGGAGCAAGATCAGGCTGAAGTGGGGGTGGGAGAAACAGGTCAGAGTGTGATAACTACAAAAACAAGAGTTGAAAAAGGTGAGTAGTTTGCATGGCTAACTTATAATACAAACTACTACTATGACTTTGCCCTTCCTTTGTCAGAGGAGCTAAAACCAGTTAAACAGGAAACAATTACCGCAAAAGAAGTGTTTTGTTTATGTTGGCCTATTAAATGAAGAAGACTTGGCCGTCTATCAGACTCTTTCAAACTAGTAACTCTGAAGTAACTCATTTATAATTACAATTTAAAATATAAAAATCACTTTTATGAGCTCTAGCAACTCTGAAAAAATTAAACTTACTATTCATAAGGAGCATAATATAATAAGAAATGTTAATGTCTCATCCAGTAAAAACAGCAACAAAATATGCCCCAGCCCACTCCGCCACCTTCCCCATAACATCAGCCCTCTACAGGATTTCTATAAAAGAATTAGACGTTGTGTTTCCCTGATTTGGAGCCTGCTCTGTGCTACACCAGTCTTCCAGTGTAAATTATTCAGGTTGCCATTGGTCATAAGAACAAAAGAATGGCCACACTGGGTCAGTCCAGTGGTCCATCTAGCCAGTACTGGGTCTTCTGGCAGTGGCCAATGCCAGGTGTCCCAGAGGGAATGAACAGAACAGGTAATCATCAAGTGATTCATCCTGTCACCCATTCCCAGTTTTTGGCAAATAGGGGCTTGGGACACCATTCCTGCCCATCCTCGCTAATAGCCATTGATGGACCTATCCTCTATGAACTTGTCTAGTTCTAGGTCCAAAGACAGACAAGGTGGGCGAGGTAATATCTTTTATTGAACTAACTTCTCTTGGAGAGAGACAAGCTTTCAAGCCACACAGAGCTCTTCTTCAGGTCTGGGAAAGGTACTCCCAGTGTCACAGCAAAAGGCAAGGTGGAACAGATTGTTCAGCATAAGTAGTTAGCATATATTGTAAGGGACCATTCAAGGTAGTGGCCCATTGCACTGGTCTGAAGAGACAGACATGGTATCCAGCTATAGGCCACTGGAGGCCACCTCTTGCACTAGGTTGATCTTCCATAGCTGGCTACACCAGTTTTAGACGTGCTAGTGGTGTACAAAGCAACTGCAACAGAGTGCGGGATCTGGACTATTGTGCTTACAATAGATGTGATATACATACATTCAGCAGGTTAAAAGATATCCATTTAAAACAGATTTCTGTCAGCTGGGCAGGTAAAATGACATGTGATTTCTGCATTCATAACAAGCCAATCTCAAGACAAATCAATATTCATAAAAGGGTACTTGCCATTTTTCCTCTGATTCCTTTTGGTCCAAGTTCTCCTGGAACTCCCTTTTCTCCAATTTCACCCTAATTAATTGGATACAGCAAAACTGAAAATGGCTATTCAGTAAAACAAAAATGTGAATAACTCAAGAAATGGTTCTTGCTGTTTATTCTTCCATTCATACATCTCGCTTTTAAGAGCACAAAGACCGATATGAAATAGGTATATACAAAAATATATACAAGTAGTGTTGTGTGTGGTGTCTCACCCCCATCCCCCAAATGTGATATATGCCATCATGTGCCAGCAATGCCCCTCTGCCATGTACATTGGTCAAACTGGACAGTCTCTACGTAAAAGAATAAATGGACACAAATCAGATGTCAAGAATTAGAACATTCATAAACCAGTCGGAGAACACTTCAATCTCTCTGGTCACGCAATCACAGACATGAAGGTCGCTATCTTAAAACTTCAAATCCAGACTCCAGCGAGAAACTGCTGAATTGGAATTCATTTGCAAATTGGATACTATTAATTTAGGCTTAAATAGAGACTGGGAGTGGCTAAGTCATTATGCAAGGTAGCCTATTTCCCCTTGTTTTTTCCTACCCCCCCCCCCCCAGCCGTTCTGGTTAAACTTGGATTTAAACTTGGAGAGTGGTCAGTTTGGATGAGCTATTGCCAGCAGGAGAGTGAGTTTGTGTGTGTGTGTGTGTGTGTGTGTGTGTCCGTCCCCGGGAAAAAAAAAAAAAAAAAGGGGGGTGGGGTGGGGTGAGAGAGCCTGGATTTGTGCTGGACATGGCCCACTTTGATTACCATGCACATTGTGGGAGAGTGGTCACTTTGGATGAGCTATTACCAGCAGGAGAGTGAGTTTGTGTGTGTGTTTTTTGGAGGGGGGTGAGAGAACCTGGATTTGTGCAGGAAATGGCCCACCTTGATTATCATGCACATTGTGTAGAGAGTTGTCACTTTGGATGGGCTATTACCAGCAGGAGAGTGAGTTTGTGTGTGGGGGGGGTGGAGGGTGAGAAAACCTGGATTTGTGCTGGAAATGGCCCAACTTGATGATCACTTTAAATAAGCTATTACCAGCAGGACAGTGGGATGGGAGGAGGTATTGTTTTATGATCTCTGTGTGTATATAAAGTCTGCTGCAGTTTCCACGGTATGCATCCGATGAAGTGAGCTGTAGCTCACGAAAGCTCATGCTCAAATAAATTGGTTAGTCTCTAAGGTGCCACAAGTACTCCTTTTCTTTTTTCAGAAAATGCACATTTTGCTGAGTCAGTGGGGAATATTTAAGTTCTTATTCTTTCCATGTGAAGTGCTAGTCTATTTAGTATGCTAACACTCTACCGCTGATTATTTTTGTTAACATATAATGGTCCTAAACACTGACCCTCCACACCCAACCCCTGCCCTACCTTCCACCCCAAATACCAGCTCCATAACTTGGAAGGATTAGATTTTTATATGTAAATGTCAATTTCTCTGTACATACATAAACTGATTTAAAGAATATTTCCATCAACAATAACAGAAATGTACAGATAGGCAAAGAAAGAAAAATGCTGCTTAAGAACTTATTAGGGACTTCTCAGTATTGGGATGCAGACCTCTGCACACATTCCCCATATCCTATCATAGCCCCTGTGCAGTGAAACCTTATTGGTCTGGTTGTGGTCAAAGCCTCTGTGCCGGCAGAAAAGCAAGGGGTGATTTGCCTCTAACTTATTTGCTTTGGAAATATATTGATTTTTAGAGATTGACCCAAACTAAAAGTCTGAATCTGAAACGTGTCTGAACTTTGAGGAGACAAGTTCACAATCCAAACCCAGATAAGGATCCAAAATTTCACAGCTGGTCTGTATCTCTACTATGGGCTGAACCAAAACCTGAGATCCTGTTTTGAATTTTTCAGCTCAGGCCCTTCTATAACTTAATTGGATGTTGGCCCAATACCATCTTTATTTTAGTTAAGTTTTAATTAAATGAAGCAACTGATCCATATTGCATATTTTTACTGTATAAGAGTCATAGAGGAGATGTAAGAACTTTATCTTTTTTAACATTATTTTTCATTGGTACTTCCCCTGAAACTCTATTTTGCACTGCTAAAACTAAAAAGAAGATATCAAAATGCTCTTTGTGCCAGGTTGGCATCTACCTGTGAGAAAGTTTATAAAGTACAACATACCATGCTGAATATTTTACTGTGTTAATTCCCAGTTGTGCAAGATTATTGGTGTAGACCAAGTATCTCCTTACTATATTTAGACTCCCAGCACCAGGCACTCAGCCCTCTCCTGGCTACTTTGAGCAGCTCAAAAGAGAGCCTACTAGCTGGAGATCTATCCTAATAGGGCTGCAAAAAGAATAGGAGTACTTGTGGCACCTTAGAGACTAACAAATTTATTTGAGCATAAGCTTTCGTGGGCTAAAACCCACTTCATCGGATGCATGCAGTGGAAAATACAGTAGGAAGATTATATACATATATACACACACACAGAGAACATGAAACAATGGGTTTTATCATACACACTATAACGAGAGTGATCAGTTAAGGTGACCAGCAGGAGGGGGTGGGGGAAGAGGAAAAAAAACCCACCTTTTGTAGTGATAATCACGGTGGGCCATTTCTAGCAGTTGACAAGAACGTGTGAGGAACAGTAGGGGGGGAAAATAAACATGGGGAAATAGTTTCACTTTGTGCAATAACACATCCACTCCCAGTCTTTATTCAAGCCTAATTTAATAGTGTCCAGTTTGCAAATTAATTCCAATTCAGCAGTCTGTCGTTGGAGTGTTTTTTTGATTTTTTGTTGTTGTAATATTGCGACTTTTAGGTCTGTAATCGAGTGACCAGGGAGATTGAAGTATTCTCCGACTGGTTTTTGAATGTTATAATTCTTGACATCTGATTTGTGTCCATTTATTCTTTTACGTAGAGACTGTCTGGTTTGGCCAATGTACATGGCAGAGGGGCACTGTTGGCACATGATGGCATATATCACATTGGTAGAACGCCACTAGCAGTCACTTTCAGCCCCCAACTAAAACCTCTTCAGCACATCATCAGGGATCTACAACCTATCCTGAAGGATGATCCATCACTCTCACAAATCTTGGGAGACAGGCCAGTCCTTGCTTACAGACAGCCCCCCAACCGGAAGCAAATACTCACCAGCAACCACACGGCACACAACAAAAACACTAACCCAGGAACCTGTCCTTGCAACAAAGCCCGTTGCCAACTGCATCCACATATCTATTCAGGGGACACCATCATAGGACCTAATAACATCAGCCACACGATCAGAGGCTCTTTCACCTGCACATGTACCAATGTGATCATGCGCTAGCAATGCCCCTCTGTCACGTACATTGGCCAAACTGGAAATGGCCCATCTTGATTATCTACAAAAGGTTTTTTTTCCCTCTCTCCTGCTGGTAATAGCTCACCTTAACTGATCACTCTCGTTATAGTGTGTATGATAGCACCCACTGTTTCATGTTCTCTCTGTGTGTATATCTATCTACCTTCCTACTGTATTTTCCACTGCATGCATCCGATGAAGTGAGCTGTAGCTCACAAAAGCTTATGCTCAAATAAATTGGTTAGTCTCTAAGGTGCCACAAGTACTCCTGTTCTTTTTGCGGATACAGACTAACACGGCTGCTACTCTGAAACCTAATAGGGCTGGTGGACGATAACCCTAGTGCAGGAGAATCCCCTGGTGGTATAAAGTGGAAGTAACTGGCAATGTATCAGCTACTTCCCTCAGGATAGAGTGTTTGTCAGGGGAGAGCTAGATGTAAAGTGGATTATGGTCATGTTCTGGTGATCTCTGTCTGAGGAGATTATTCCTGTAAGTGCAGCAGAGGAGGAAACAATCTGGCACCACTGAAGTCAACGGGAGCAGGATTGAGATTTTAGAGTAGCTCTTAGCCTGCTCCTAGTTACTTTCAGGTACAACTGATCAGAAGAGTACGAAGGTGGCATAGAGTCTTTCCTCACCCTGATTCAACTCTAGAGCAAATAAAATATCAACAGAAACACATTCTGCAGTGAAAACAAAAGAATGGAAGAAACAACTTGTCTTTTTACCTTAAAGTGACTAGTTAGAAAGAGTACATGGGGAAACTGTAGGCCTGGTTTTATATATTCTCCCTCAAAGAAGCTGCGTCAGCAGTACATGACTTTTGGGTGTTTGGTTTTACAGTTGTAAAGCATTGCTAATAGTTAAGGATGAGCATGTCAGACTTGCTTTTAGGGCTGACATTTAAAAAAAACTGGAGCCTGTTAATGTGTCAAAATGGGTAATTTCTCCCCAAAATGGGTAATTTTGATAATATAATCAGTCGTGTACTACTATACATTATTTTTTCAACCTGTAATTTGTGTGTAATTCAGGAGATGAGGCAATGAATTTAGTTGGTCTATACGTACACACCAGCATATTTTCACCATCACTTACGCAACACATTGATGTCACACTTCATATGTAATGCACAGCACAAAAGTCTAGTTAATAGTGTATTTTTCATACACATAGCTTCAGTAGACTATGTATATCACACACAGATTCATACACAACACTACAAGACAAAACGCAAAAGTGCATCTAAGGCTGTGCAAGATGTTATCTGGGGATTTTTTCCTGGCGCTTTGTTTGGATAACTGCTGACACTATCGGCTACCTGCTCCACGTTACTGACAGGAAGAAGTGGGACACATACTCCTAAACTGGCAGGCACAACACATAGCTATTCCTATATTTAGAGGCTGTTTCAGCACATCTCTAAACGTAAGATTTGACTCCACCAACAACCTCAGAAATGACACACAATAATTAAAAAGTGATAAATTAAAAAACTGTTAAAAATTTCCAGGCAATAAGGTGATCAGACAAGAATTTTTTTTTTAGTCCTTTAGTATCATAAGGAATTTCAGATGTTGACATATAAATCAGGACTTTCTTCCCATGAAACATCAAGAATGTTTTTTTTTATTCTACCACTGAAACTTATTTCCATCCTTAAAGTCTCCACTCTTATCTTGAGTTTATGCCAACATAACTGTTAACTGCAGCAGAGTTGTGTTGGTGCAAAAGTAGTGTAATGGAGCGGAGACTCAAGTCTGCTGATCAGAAAGCTACAACATAAAGGTGAAGCACAATACCTTCAGTCCAATATCTCCGGTGAATCCTTCTTGTCCCTGTTATTTACAGTAAATAAGGTAAAATTATCACCACATTGATATTTCTACTCAGTTTTTTCTATATTTGACTTTTCAGAATCAGACACAACTCAATAATAAACAGTGAAACTAGCAATGTGCTGGAAAACAGTATTATTATTGCTATCTATTATTTTTTGAGGTGCTAACATGGATTGTACAAAATGCAGAAGACGGCACAGCCCGATGCAAGAATCTTATAGTTTAAGCTGAATGATACAACTGATGCATAAAGGGCCAGATCCAACTCCTGTTAGAGTCAATGAAAAGACTGCCATTGATTTTAATGGGGGTTGGATTGCACCCAAAATACATCTGCAGACCAGGAAGTTTAGAGCCCAATCCTGCAATGTGCTTGTTACCCTAAATTCCCAATGGAAGCACCTTTCTGGATTAAGTCCTTAGAACATATGAAGTATTGGGGCAGGCGGGGGGGAAGCAAGAGGTACAGTAGGGGTGTGACAGCATGTTACTAAAGTGGGATGGGCTTGCCAGAAGGAGTTTAAAAAGGTGAGGTTTGCATTAATAGGGTTAACAGAAATGGATGAAGAAGTTCAGGGAGTCTGGCAGTAGTTACCCAGGACAAAGACAAAAAGTTTTTGAAAAGCGTTCTGTTCTCCCTTATTATACTCAGACATATATCATTTAAAATTTAAATAAAGCAGCACTGTACTTTACTGGGCTATTCATGTGCTCCTAATTGCATTGATAAATTAAAAGGAAGTGACTATGTAAAGATGAAATACTCCAGGATAGCTTTACTAGTCTTTCCTAAATACAGACAGGAACTGTACAGTGAACAGGCACTGGCTAAGCTGTCAGGCACCTGTGACTGACAGAAAGATTTGATATATCAAAATATTAGACCTCACAGTTCAAAGTAGAGGGGAATCAATACTGGAAGCATTTTTTGGAGTAAATTAGAACTATTCTCTGATTAGTTTTAGTGCGGCAGAATTTTTTCTCTCATTTCAAAAGAGGTTTTCTAAATAATGATAGTAAATGTAAATGTGAACTTATTTAACCGTAAAATGCATCTAAACTATATAAAATGTGTCTACAGAAGGGTATATAAATCTGATTCTATCCTTCTCCTGCACTCTTCATGTGTTGCTTGTCTTTTTAGACTGGAAGCCCTTCAGGGCAGGAACAATATCTTCCTGAGTGTGGACAGCATTAAAATATTGTTACAACAACACAACAACATTAAAATAATGCTCCAGTAAATAATTAGGGTTATTACTACTGTTATATTTTTATCTTTTACTCTAATTTAAGAGAGTTTATAACTTATTTTCTAATGTTTATATGTTGCCACAGGTACACAGGGCAATTGATGGACAAATAAAAACAACAATCCCCCCTCCCACAATGACATTACAACTTACGGCCCTAATCTTGCAATGTGATCCATCTGGTGGATCTTTATGCAGCCCCTCTGCAAAGTCAATAGGTGCAGGAGTCTGCCTGTCTCGATCAGCTTGCAGAGTTTACAGTCAGAGATGATAATGAAAGGACTTTTTTCCCCTGCAGTTTTCACTCTCACTAAAATAATGTAAAAACAAGTTAAGAGTTTCCATTTATTTTTCCTTTTTCATGTTTACCTTCTCTCCTTTCTTTCCTGGTCCACCATATCCCGTAGCACCATCTTCTCCCTGTGAATAGACAATTATTATTAAATCATCTGCTTTTCCTGTCTGTGCTTTACTCCGGCTATTAATGTCTATATTAATTCTAAGTGTTTGTGTAGCAACCCAAATGTCAGGAGGACAGAGAGAAGTGACAGGATTGGCAATTTATAAATGAAGGACTAGATTTTGGCCACACACGGCACATGGAGAGAATAAAACACAAACCTGCATTCCCCGTTGACCTGGCGGCCCTCTCTGTCCTCTCTCTCCAGGATCACCATATTCTCCCTGTTAAATGCAATTAATGCGATCTCAGACTTGTAAGTAATATCTTTTAAACCCACAGAGCCTGATTAATCTTTCTAGCCAACTGATTTTAAGAATACTGGAGAAGCTACAATCAAAAGGTTTAATAAATATAAACAGTAAATCTCACTTAAATTACTTATGATTAAGGCTGCATGTCTGTCATGGAAGTCACAGATACCACGACTTTCCGTGACCACTGTGATTTCTGCAGTAGACCGTGTGGCTGGCTCAGGGGCTACCCGAGCCAGGCAGCCCCTGAGCCAGCAGCAGCATCTTGGCTTGTGGGAAGGGGCTCAGAGCTGGGGCAGAGGTTTGCGGTGCGGGGCGGCGCTTACCTCAGTGTGGGGGCAGGGGGCTCCCTGGCTCGCACTGGCATGTCCCTGCAACTTCTAGGCAGAGGGACCAGGGGGCTCCGCACACTGCCCGTGCCCACAGGCACTGCCCCTGCAGCTCCCATTGGCTGCGGTTCCCAGCCAATGGGAGCTGTGGAGCCAGCGCTTGTGGTGGGAGCAGCGCACGGAGCCCACCTGGATGCCCCTCCCCCTTGGAGCTGCAGGGACATGCCGGTCAGAGCCGGGTAGGGAGCCTGAAGCCTGGCCAACCCTCTCCCACAAAACACCAGTGAAGGTCCCGGGCCATGTGCCACCGTCACGGCCCGTGTCCCCCTCAGCACCAATGGGGTAGCTGGGCCACCCCCTGCCCCAGCATCTGTGCCCCCCCTGAGCTCACCCCCCAGAGCACCTGTGGCCCCCCCAGACCAAGTTTTAGTTAGGAGTATATAGTAAAAGTCAGACAGATCACGGGCAGTAAACAAAAATTCGTGACCCGTGACCTGTCTATGACTTTTACTAAAAATACCCGTGACTGAAATCTAGCCTTACTTATGATTATGCACTGCCCTTGAACTGTGCATAGAGCTGCCACTGAGGTCAAAGACCTGTAGTCCTTATTCAAACACAAACAAACAAAAAACCACAACCCTACTTCCATTGACTTTTGCCTGAATGATTGTTTCAGGAGCAGGCTCAAAGGCAAGATCTTCAGGTGGGAACAAACAAATTAACTTTAAAACAACAACAAAAGTAGTTAAAGGAATGAAACCTACTTTATTTCCTCTCATTCCAGGACTGCCAGGACTCCCTTTTGGACCCGCAGCTCCCCATTTACCCTGAAATTAAATGAACATATGATACCTAGTGAGAATTTGGGGGAAAAAAAAAACAACCCCAAACAAATCACTTTGCTTCATTAGCACTTCATGTAGAATGACAAGAATCTAGTCTCAGCTGTGCCACGTGTGCTTTTCCTGCAGACATCTGGCAGGCAGCAAAAGCAGTCAACACAAATAACGCTTAGATTCATTGCTTCAAGTCTAGACCAAACATTTATTTTCCTACCAGGATGGCAGCAACTTTGTATAAGATGAAGGCCATTCACTAGTTTGACTGGTACAGAACATTTTTTCAGTATCCATCAAACATTGTTTGCTCAATTCCAGACAAATAGAGATGTGTCTATAAAGTGATTATACTGTCGACTTAAAACCTATTCTTCATTCATTTAAAAAAAAATCCAGACAAAGTTACTACTGGCTTCTCATCCACACAGTCTCTATATTAGTCATATATAAACCAGAAAGACCTAATTCTGCCTTTAGTGGATGCAATCTCCACTGCTTTGTAGCAGGTTTGTATGGATCATATTGATTTCAATGGGACATAAGCAGAATTTTGTCCCATTGAAAACAGAAGCAGAATTTTGTCACAATTTTTTATTTTGTCACAGTGGCCACATCTTTCGAACACAAATATACCCAAATGACATATATGGCTTTAAGGAAGTTTACAAGAGAGAATCTGGAGAAGACCCATTGTTAGCTTCAGGGAACTCCCTAATACAGTTTCTTCCATTATTGAAACTTGATGTGTCTAGCTGTTTGAGTGCAATGGTTTTCCAGAGACTCCAGTCACAATAAAGGTGACAACTTGTCAGAAATAAAGAAAATCCTGGAAGAAATTAGGAATCTAGCCTCTCTGCATGGTAAATTGACGGTAAATACTTTGGAAACAGGTAAATAATAGCTGCTCAGTTAAGATGCAAACTGCCAAATACAAAAAAGCAAAGCAGCAATGGAATCATCAGACATTTATTTTAGACAGTACTGCCAAGAGAAAGGAAAGTATGGCAATGAAGCAAATATAAACGTTAGGTGAGATTTCAAAAGTACTCCACACTGGCCTACCTCTCATCCCATTGATTTCAATGGGAATTTCCCCCTGCCTCAACATTTGAAAAACCCAGCCTAGAAAAATCAAACTGATAATTGCCCCGTCTGCCAAATGGAGAACAGGAAGAAGATTTGGATAGCTTTCTCGTTAAATTATCTAGTGGATAGGTCCAGATTCAGTGGCTGTACCATGGTTCAGACTCAATGGTCCAGTTTCTGTGACTGTCAAGGTACCAGTTACAGCTTCCTAAGTCTCATAGTTGTATGTCATTTAATTAAACACTATCATAAAACGAAAGTTCTGTTATTTTCTAACTCTTGAGTAGTTCATTTTACAACCTTAAAAACATTTTAAATCTATGTTTTGCAATATTTATGCACACACACACACACACACACACATTCTCCTGTACCCTTAAATAAACTGGTGGGTCATGATAGAATAGAAATGAATTGCTATATAGCTATTGCAGATTTTTTTCTTATAATATAAAACAGTTTATCATTGCTCTGAGATGTTTAAAATTCCTTTAGCCCCTTACGAATACATTTCTCTCTGACAGAATATCATGATACACTGCACAGGAATTTTGAAACAAAGAATGCAGTAAAACAGCAGTAAAAATGGAAGTCTCCCACTGGTTACACACACAGTGAGTAGAACACTGAGTGAACTTCACACAGTATTTTTACCTGAAGACCTTTACTTCCTTCACTTCCTTTCTCTCCATTCACACCTACAATTCCTCTTTGTCCCTAGAAGGTATGTTATAGGACAGAAAATCCAGTTAACACACAAATGCATATATTACAAACAGAAATATTAAATATCCTGTCTTATGAAATAACACCACTTAGCCCGTTATATAGGCTTTATGTCTTGAAAGTGCTCTTAAAACACCTGATTCATCCTTATATCATCACTGTGTGATAGATATTCTCCCCATTTTACATATGGGGAAACAAAGATTCAGGGGCATAGCTACTCTCCAGCTGAATAGGTGTGTGGGGGGGAGCAGGTGGGGGTGGGGAGAAGCTGGGAAGGACTAGGGAGATCTGTAGGGGAAGGATGGGAGGAATCCTGTCCAGATAGACTGGCAAGATACCCTCAAGGGAGGCTGCTAAAGATGGAATAGTTTATAAACGTCCCTCTGTGAGGAGGAGGAACGACCTGGGATCACCTGCATTACTGTGGATCCCCTGGTCATGCTCCCAGCTAGCTCCTACCCCATGGCAATGACCTGCTGTGCTCTGGGCGTCTTTCTGGAGCTGTGGAACAGCCCCCATATCATGCGATCCTTCACAGTGGAATTGCCCAGGATCTGCTGCCAAGGGGTCCTCTGCGCCTGTGGGGCTGCGGTAGTAGGGTTTCTCCTAAACTCACAGCTGACTTTTGATAAGATCCATTATTCTGCTCTTACCCACACAAGCATTCTCCATCCTCCCGGGGGGGGGGAGGGGAGGAGAATTACACCAACTCCCAACAGCTCCCCACTAAAATGTCAGCAAAGGTCCCCCCGCCAAAGAAAAATACAATGCATTAAAAATGTAAAGAAAAAATAATCAGTGAGTTCTAGCACACAGCTACAGACACTGGGTTCCCATAGCAGACAGTCAGCCAAGAACAGGAGTTCAGCTGCCCCTAAGTCCCTTTCTGCTGAAGAGGTCCAGGTGCATGCAAGAACATAAGAAAACGGCCATGCTGGGTCAGACCAATGGTCTATCCAGCCCACTATTCTGTCTTCTGACAGTGGCCAATACCAGATGCCCCGAAGGGAATGAACAGAACAAGGCAATTATCAAGTGATCCATCCCCTGATGTCCAGTCCCAGCATCTGGCAGTCAGAAGATGGGGCAATTTGGAGGGGATGAGATAGACTTGCTGAGAAGGATGCGGATTTGCACCCATGGGATGGCACTCTGGTGCAGCTGCCTCCCCAGGTGTTAGCTTCAAGGAAATCCCCAATACAGTTTCTTCAATTTGCAGCCTTTGTACCTGCAAGAGTGAATCTATATCCATATTTACAATGCAGGGATCTAACATACGTCTAAAATCACACAGGGCCAGATTGTGAATCCCTTACTCACATTGGTTACAGACATAGGTACCAACGTTCCCCGGTGCCGGTGGGTGCTCTCGCCCCCCCCTCCCTGGCCCCGCCCCAACTCCACCCCCATTCCAACCCCTTCCCCGAAGTCCCCGCCCCAACTCCGCCCCCTCCTTGCCCCTATTGGACCCCTTCCCCAAATCCCCGCCCTGGTTTCTTCCCCAAGCACGCCGCATTTCCCCTCTCTCCCAGCGCTCGCTGTGTGAAACAGCTGTTTCATGGCGCAAGTGCTGGGAGCTGGGGGGAAAAAGTGAGCACGTGGCGTCATTCGCGTAGGAGACGGAAGGGGAGGTGAGCTAGAGTCGAGGGGGTGGGGCAGGGAGCTGCTGGTGGGTGCAGAGCACCAACCAATTTTTCTCCGGGGTGCTCCAGCCCTGGAGCACCCACGGAGTCAGCGCCTATGGTTACACAAGCTATTTCACTGGATTACTCATCAACATGAGGAAGAGGCTTCCAATCTGGGCCACAGAAAACTGTGGTCAGAAGTCCAGATCTAGATAGGAGGCATTATTTGCTCAACAGAAGGGCAGTACTGGAACATCAGAGATATTGCAAGCCAGGAAAGCCAGAGCTGTGTAGGGAAGTTTGCACTGTGCCTGCCTTACTATGCTATGCCCAACTCAAACTAATGCTGCTAGTTGCTAGCCACCAACAATATATTCACTCACATGTTAGCTTTATAGAATCATAGAACTGGAAGGGACCTTAAGAGGTCATCTAGCCCAGTCCCCTGCACTCAAGGCAGGACTAAGCTTTGTGTGAGTATGGACACTGGACCCTATGATTTTTGGACATAGACTATTTCATTTCTCCTTTGTATTTCAAGTCCTCCTTCTCCCCGAAAATACCTAGATTAGCGGTTCTCAAACTGTGGGTCGGGACCTCAAAGTGGGTTGCGACCCTGTTTTAATGGGGTCAGCAGGGCTGGAATTAGACTTGCTGGGGCCTGGGGCCAAAGCTCGAGCCCCATCGTCCAGGGCCAAAGCCCAAATCCCACCACCCGGGGTCAAAGCCAAAGCCTGAGGGCTTCAATCCTGGCTGGTGGGGCTCAGGTTACAGGCCTCCCGCCTAGGGCAGAAGCCCTTGGGCTTCAGTTTTGGCCCCACCAGGCTTTGGCATTGGCCCCCATGCCCTGAGCAGTGGGGCTCGTGTGGGCTCAGGCTTCAGTCCCCACTCCTAGGGTCGTGTACTAATTTTTGTTGTCAGAAGGGGGTCACGGTGCAATGAAGTTTGAGAACCCCTGACCTAGATGAATGTTAATATTCACCTGGGATCCTTGAAATCCTGGTTTTCCTGGAAAGCCCTGTGAGCCAGGAGCTCCTTCCTCCCCCTGTATTAAGAGACAGTATTGTAACAATTTTCTCAAGTGATCATAACAGCGACTGATCTGCCAGGAGAACAGTATGATATTTTCAATTTCTAATACCATTTATTTGGCATTTGAACACCTCTTTTCTTTTCATTAAGAGACGTTTCTCTAAAGAGTCAGCATTTAGATCAAATTACATTTCTTAGCATAGTGGCTTCACAGACTATCAGCATAACCTACCATATTTTTAATAAAGCTGGTCATTGCAACGCATGGATTTAAAAAATTGTTTTTAAAATCCAGAAATTAAGTGAAGCTTATTTATTGCCACAAAGCAGGCTGAGCTTATAACCAAGGCAGCTGTTATAAGACAAAATGCCTGAAACGTGGTTTTTGAGACATGTTTTTCCAGTTTAGCAGTTGGACAATACTTTTCCATACAATTGTGCATAATTGAGGGAGAGTGCAAGGAGCCTCCTGCCCATGTTTTACCCCTCTTTAGGGGCACATCACAATTACAACTCTGCACTCACCTCAGCCCAAGAACTTTGTAAGACTAGCACCCCTATAGACCTCAAAGAGGCAAGCAGAATGTGCATGTCTTCTGGATTCCATCCCATACTACACCTAACATGGGGCAGTGCCTATACAATGCAATCCAGTACTATGTACTGTGCAACATAATGTATCTTTATTTTGTTTAAAGAGCAAAAGCTCCGATATTGTCTAGGTGCCACAGTCCCTTTTCTTTTGCGAACAGACACACAGCTGTTCCTCTGAAACCTGTGCAACATAATGTATCTTTATTTTGTTTAAAGAGCAAAAAGTATTTTGTAAAGGAGTGTTACCAGGTTAAAAATCTTCTCGAAACAAAACACACTTCTAATATCTCAGATGATTAAAACTGAAAATATTTATTCTGGTTTATTTTCAGTTTTTCATTTCTCTGTCTTTGACAACAAAAATCTCAGTTTCACTTTTAGTGTCTCAGTGCTGTTTGAACTGAAAACACTGCAGGGAAATGATTATTTTTGTTGCACTGGAACGTTACAGAAACTTTTTTTTTTGCTCTCAGGTTTTGTAAAAACTTCTTGTCACAAGATCTCATTTAGATTCAAGTTTGACTTGACAATGTCCTTCAAATAAATTATTATGCATCCATAATCTTTCACTATTAATGCTCTACAGTGCCATATTTTGTACAATTTGGATTTTTATGGTGCTGGTTATAGTATGAGGGCCCGATCCTGCTCATCTCATACACTCAAGCCCAGATTCAGTAGTCCAAGTCTATTCAGCAAAGTCTCAGCACATGCTTACTCAGTACAATGACATTCCACGATTGTCACTCATGTGTTACTCTGAAGCCTAGAATGCCTGTATACTCAGTGTGAAGAGATGAAAACAACTACAGGCATGGCTGAAAGCTCCTTTTGTTTATACTAGCACGAGGTTCAATCATCACTGGGATTGGCAGCCTATCATTCAATTTATAAAAAGAACAGGAGTACTTGTGGCACCTTAGAGACTAAAATTTATTTGAGCGTAAGCTTTTGTGGGCTACAGCCCACTTCATCAGATGCATACAGACTAACACAGCTGCTACTCTAAAACCATTCAATTTATAAATTCAGCCATTTTTGGCCTTTTTTAAAAAAAAAACAAAAACACGACTTTATGGATTACACCGAGGCAACAGCATGGGCTTTCAGCTACTAGTTCTCATGAATGGGACTAGTTCTTCAATGGGACTTGTGCAGCATATGCATTGCTGAACTAGGACCCACAAGTAATACTACTGAAGTCACTGAGATTAATTGCATAAGTAAGGCAAGCAGGATTTGTCCTTTATCCTATATGCTATAACAAATCTAAAATAAATATTCAACTCTGCAAATATTTTAGAAGGCAGGAAAGCTCCCACGTTAGTCCTACTGTAGATATGGGAAATTAATGAAACCTACCTGCGGACCTGGTGTTCCTCTTCGACCCTTTGCTCCCTGACAAAACAAGATAGATGTTTGTTAGACCCCAGTTCTATCTCTCAATTAAATGACAAACAGTAGAGAAGTTGTGGCAACTAGGTCAATTTTTTTCAGATAATTTGATATTCACATAATGCTTTAGTACATGCTCAAGTTACTGTACATGTTAGAGCAGTGATTGAGAGCAAAGGGAAAGCTATTATAGATGTGTCGGGATATACTTTGCTATCACTTTGCTCACACGCTTCAGTCCTGCTGTGCCAAGAGGACTAAAACATTCATGCCCTGTCCGCCCTAGCAAAACAGATGTGTTTATAAAATTGGTTTTGGCTGTAGAGTTTAAAGACATTTCCCATCAAGCAGTAGGAAAGGTTCCCACCTCATTAGTCTGTTCTTATTGATAACTGCCTATGACAGAGCGCTAGGCAAGAAAGGCTGAGTCAGCACTCTGTTCACAGTAGCTCCAATGAAGCAAGGCAGAATGGAGCTGATTAAGCAGAGCTGTGCCTAATTTGTGGGTGGGGAAGGGCAGAAAGGCTAATTAAGCCCTTAGGCAGAGCCCACAAATAGGCACAGGAAGGAAGTGGAAAGGGGGAAGCAGGCAGAGAGAGAGATTGCGCTCCCCTTCTTGTTACAAGAGCTGTATGTATTATGAATCCATTTGTAAATAAACTGCACAAGGTGTTGGACCAGCACAAGGATCTCTGAGTAGTTTGTAGACTGGGACAGAGGCAGGAGCCTGGTCACCCTGCTACATTGCCACACCAGAAGAAAAGAATTTGCATACTCTATCTTTGCAGAATTTCTCTTTGTTTGGAAGGAGAAAAAAGCAGCAGAGAAGCGAAGTCACCAACAAGAGTTGGGGGACAGAAACTGGGTAGTATTGCAGTAGGGTCCAAATCTGAAAGAAACGAGGAAGCTATTTTGTCTCTGATAGTCAGTCAGTTGTGTAGGGTAGCCCTATTCAAGAGGAAAGAGTTTGCCTGGAATCAGAGGCTACTGCTAGTGTTAATTTTTTCAGGGCAGTCTATCAGAGATTTATTCATCTCATCTTCCTGCAGTGAATGGAGGCTGACGGAGTGATTGATCAAGGTTAAATTTATGGACTCTGAGATCATTCTTTCTACCTTGGATTAATATAAAGTATTTCCTTTGCATATTTAGTCTCCTTGTCTATATGGGTTCTTACTGTGGTTCTCTGAGAGCCTGGTGACCCTGGTGAGCCCTTTGGTCCTCTTTCACCCTGGAAATGAGAAATTTAATTTCATGTTATATCTCAATTGTCACTCAAATTCCAAACTTTTTATATTTTTCCAGATTATTAAGCCATCTAGTCATGAACAGTGGACATGCAAACCAATGGGAAAAAATTCTTTTCATAACACTTGGGCACACAACATCTGTAACCACTCACCCATCTGTCAGAATTAAGAACAGAAACATAGTATTTTAAGTGCACGACTTCATCTATGCAACATCATCAAACAACATCAAAGAAATGCCATTGTGTTACGGTACATTTCATAAAGTAGTAACATCAAAATAATCACTGATGTTGCCCTCAAACTATATTTGTCTGGAAAGTGCTGCATGTTTGTCATTACAGTTACCATTCTGTTGTGTATCAACATTGATCTCATGCGTACTATGCCGATAATCCAAGTCTTGTACTGATGCTCCATAACTGCTCTACAGTGAAATCAATGGAAGTTCAGGGGGGCTAGGCGCTGTGTAGTATTGGGCCCATAAATAGCTCTAAGTACTTCCCCCCCACACACACTTTGGAAGATTTTCTGTGGAAGTTCATTAATGTACTAAAATAAATGTTTTAAAAAATAATAATAATAATAAGTGGTGACAGATGACAGTAGGTATGATTAATCATCATACATCCACACCTTAGTTATTTTTCATCTCTTTAAAAAAATGTAAGACCACTTCTGAAGCTGGACCACTGAGTGCAAAATCACCCATAAGGATAGAATCAGAGAACCATAGAATGTAGGACTGGAAGGGACTTCAGGAGATCATCAAATCCAGCCCCCTGTGCTGAGGCAGGACAAGTAAACCTATAGGAAGAGTTATCAGGTCCCTCCCTCCCTCAGTCTTCTTTTCTCAAGACTAAATATGCCCAGGTTGTTTAACCTTTCCTTGCAGGTCAGGTTTTCGGAACCTTTCATCATTTTGGTTGCTCTCATCTGGACTCTCTCCAATTCATTCACATCTTTCTTAAATTGTGGTACCTAGAAATGGACACAGTACTTGAGCTGAGGCCCCACCAAGGCCGAGTAGAAAGGAACAATTACATCTGGTGTCTTACATACAAGTCTCCTTCCAGAATATTAGCCTTTTTTGCAATTGCATCACATTGTTGATTCATATTCAATTTATGATCCACTATTACCCCAGACCCTTTTCAGCAGTACTATTACCTAGCCAGTTATTTCCTATTTTATAGTGGTGCATTTGACTTTTCCTTCCTAAATATGGTATTTTGCACATGTCTTTATTGAATGTCACCTTGTTGATTTCAGATGTATTTTGTGGTATAAAATTAGGAACGATAGAATTGTCATACTATTTTTAACAGTCTTGGTTATCAATGGATTAATTTTAATTTGCTGTAAATAGCTATATTTTAAAGGATTGTAGGTTAGTATTTAAAACAATGTACTGTAAACAAAGTCACATATTTCTAGTTACCTGTCTTCCCTGTTCTCCTTTTGAACCTTTGAACCCTACTATGTCATTGTCCAATCCAGGGTTACCCTAAACAAAGACACAAAGTTAAGTACATTTATTTCCCATGGGAGCTGATGTCACTTAATATTTCACGGTAGATGCTCAGCACCTTTCAGCAGGGGGCCCTGAAAAAAAAAAAAAAAAGGGAAAACAGAGCAGGAGTTGACCATTTGTTATGTCTAACAAAGATTAATAGCCTATCAGCCTTTACACCATATTGATAAAATATTTGTAGTTTTTGTTTTTATGAAATCAGTGTTGCGAGACTTCACAGAATCTATGATACGGTGGGCAGACAAAAGGGACATTAAGAGTCATTCTATTTTCAGTACTAGACAGAATTCCCACTCGAATCAGTGGAAGTCCTGTGTGGGCACTGCAGCTCAAAGGGAGTACATGGCACTAAGTCTTGGCAGCGGGGCAAACTTTAACCACCATGAAAAAACCCAAGTATTAGCAATTTTGCAGGTGATACTGCACTCTTTGAACACACTGGAAATACAGTGCAGCCCTGCCTCCTTTTCCTGGTGTTTTCTCCTCCTCACCAACTACAACATCTGTCCTTTTATAGTGATTTCCACAGCCATGTTGCTCTGTCAGGTCCTTGTCACACCAGACAGAATGCATCTTCATCCCTACTGATTTGATGTTACTCCCCTCACTGGCTCCCCATCCACTTTGGCATCATAGAATTCTGCGCCTCCTTATTTATTCAAGCTTGTCAGTGTGTCCTGCCCCCACCCCTATCCCACTAATGTTCTCAACCTTGTTTGCTCATCTGTCAGCTTCTCACACAATCACCTCAGTGCCTTTTTCCATGAAGCCCCTATGCAGCCTCCATGAGATCACTGGCAAGCCTTCTACCTTGTTCCTCTTTCCCCCTTAAAGTTCCATTTTTGCCAAGCTGTTTACAGTGCATCTAACTGACTTGAATTTAAAGAAATCCCTATTCATTGTTTCCTTTCCCATTCCCCCTAACTTCTGCCTGCCAGTCTGCCTCTATCCTTTGACTGTGAGCTTCTTGGAGCAGGGACCACTCCTATCAGAATGTCTGAGAAGTTCTTAGCAAATTGTGGGTGCTACTATAAACTAATAATAACAATGACAAACAACTGATTGGAATTATATGAGAAATACATTATCTTCAGCTGAATCCACAGAGTCCGGGGAGCTAATTCAAGATATGAATGAATGAATGAATGAGCTGTAGCTCACAAAACCTTATGCTCAAATACATTTGTTAGTCTCTAAGGTGCCACAAGTACTCCTTTTCTTTTTGCAAATGTATTTGTAATATTTTCCCTCCATTTCTCATATTCTATTTGTGATGGTTGCATTCATAATTTACACCTAGCCCAGCAATGCTATACCTGACCAATAAGTACTATAACGATTAGCAGCTAGGGCTGCAGCATTTCATGACATATGACACACCTTTCACTGAAGTCAGACTCTCACAAGCTGGCCTGTTGACTGTGACAGGCCACGCCCTCGGTATGCCACTCAAGAAGCAGGGTGAGAGCTTTCAATTCCCTGAGAGACATGCTACCATAAACATAAGAAAACACTGCAGTCCCTTTTCACACATTATGTAATTTCCATTCATCAATGTTTTAAATATTATGTTCTAAACAGAGGAATATTCTTTGTTTTATTTAAAAAACAAACAAACAAAAAAACCTCATCCTGAGCTGTACTTTTTTCTTCTGTTTTATAAGTAATCATTCAACAGTACAAGATCACCATCCAGAGGCTAAATCCTACTATGGTCTGGATTCAAAAAGATATCACTATTCCTCCCATGTGTTGGTAAGTGCTCCCCACCCCCATTTACTTTCAGTGGGAATTGATGGCACTTCATCTCACAGTGGATGCTCAGCACCTTTCAGCACTGGGCCCTGAAAGAAGAATGGAAAAGACTGCAGGATTTAGCCCTATGTCATATCTGACAAAGATTAATATCAGCCTTTATACAGTGCTTATCATCACGGTATCTTTGCCTCAGGCAATACAATTACATATTGGCATAGGAATAAGCATAATTCATTTACTAGTGAATGGATACAAAGTCCCCAGAAAGTGTCATAAATCCACAGGATGTCCCATAATACTGGATTTTTCTTGTAGGTCTCTGAGGCAACTGACAGATCTGCATAGCCACATGTAGACAAATTTGTCATCTTGAGACATGAAAGGCTAAGATGTGCTAGGTTTATCTGATCTATTATCCTCATCGTTGGGATTACAGTGCAATAGTCACGCACGTCTGTCCTAACATACCTTTGAAAGAATATCATATCCCCATGCAGATCTGAACAGAGGCTTATGCTCCCTGCAAGTTTATTCATTTTCTAGTGCACCATAAGTGAGGTTCTGAGATCAGATTCACATCCTTAATATTGTGATCCTAAGAGCACCCCAATGCCAAGGGGCCCCGTGGTATAGAACTAAGTCAGCTGGCCTGGCCAACTCTCTACACCTCACACATAATATTTATCTAAAAAGTGTCTTGGAGCATATCATTTGAAAACACTCTGATGATTAATATCACTGTGAAATGTAAGTAATAAAGCTGTATGTGAAATTATAGATACTCTCTGATATTATGTTTTAGAATCGGTCAACAGACCAACAAGGCAAAACAGTTTTCCAGACAAAGAAGAATAGCCAATTCCTCTTGGGCTCAATTGCAATCAAGACAGGTGTGGCTAAGAACAATGGGCTAATTGTTTGCATGAAGTATCACAGGAAGATCATTTGGGCTTCCAGACTTTGAAAACAAAGATAAACTGAGGATATAAGCAACTACTAAAGACTTTGGGGTATCCATCACATAGGGGAAAAAAGGGGAGCAGCACCCTTTGAGTTCATGAAAAGTGGATCCTCTTGGCCCAGGAGGCAAGAGTAGCTGGAAACGGACTACAGGGGAGAAACGTGCTTAGACAATGATTACAACTTTCTGAAATTAAGTTGTAGTCATTAGAAAGCAGGTTTTGTTTTGTTTGACTTGTCACCAAGCTTGTCTCCTCTAGTCTTACTTATCATTTAAATCTCTGTTCTTTGTTAATCAACTTATTCTTGTTTTATTACAAAACCATCTCAGCGCTCTGTATTAAACTGAAGGATAAAATCCCTTAGCCAAACTACCAGGCTGGTATGTGTTCTGCTCTTTGGAGGCAGCCAACTTGATACTTGTGTGAGGATCCCGTGAGAGGGTCTGGACACTGCAGGAGAGATGGTTTTGGGGAGATGCAGGACTGGAAGGGCTGTTGGTGTCACACTGCAAGGAGCAACCAGGCTGGTGGAAGCCAGGGTGAGGCCATTGTCTTGTGACCAGGCTGCTGGTGCCAGGGCTCTGAGCCAAAGCTGCACAGCAAAGAAGCACCCAGGGTGACACAATCCCTCCCTCCCTTACTGCTCTGGGGGAACCCCATAGAGTCATAGATGTATAACATAGAATAGATTTGCACCTAGGAAAAAACTTACAGGATCTCCTTGTAAGCCCCTCTCACCACGCTCACCAGGGAGTCCTCTTGACCCTGGACTGCCCTGAAATCATAAAATGGCTGAGTGAGAATCTAAACAATCATTTTCCTGCTGATGTTAACAAAACAAGAGACAGGAACAAGCGCCAACATTTTAATACAGAATTAGAAACTCCCCAGGTTCAGGGCTGTTTGCATCCAGGATTTTGTTTAATCTGTTAAGTCACAGGCCTTCACAAAATACAGTTCCAGAAGGTGGATTTGATTTGGAACACCTCCAAATTTTGGACGAGCTTGGCTCTTAATGTTGGTTCCCGCTCATATGTAAACAAAACAGCAACAAGTTCTCTGAATTTTCTTTTGACACAAAGGAAAAAAGCTAACTGCAATTTATTAAACTTAAAGCAATTACTACAATTGTAATTAACCATGTTCAGTAAATACATTCTAAAACAGGATGATCTTCAGCTGCCAGATTCCCCAGCATTAATGTTTGCATGAGAAAATAAAATTGAAATGTAGGTTTTGTTTTTCAATCAAGAGCTTGAAACTCTTATTCAAAATGAAAAAAAAAAGTTACCACTTGCTAATGTTTATTTAAGAACATAAGAACTACCATATGGTCAGACCAATGGTCCATCTAGCCTTATATCCCGTCTCTGACAGTGGCTAGGACCAGTGATTCAGGGGGAGTGTACAGAACAAGGTAGTTGGAGTGATCCACCCAGTCTTTCACTAGTCAGAGGTTTAGGGTCACCCTGAGCATGGGGTTGCATCCCTGACTATCTTGGCTAATAGCCATTGATTGACCTATCCTCCATGAACTTATCCATTTCTTCTTTGAACCCAGTTATACTTTTGGCCATCACAACTTCCCACAGCAATGAGTTTCACAGGTTAATTGTGCATTGTGAGAAAAAGTATTGCCTCTTGTTTATATTAAACCTGTTGCCTGTTAATTTCATCTTACGATTCCTGATTTTTATATTGTATGAAAGAGTAAATAATACTTCTCTATTCACGTTTTCCACACAATTCATGCTTTTATAGACCTCTATTACATCCCCCTTAGTTGTTTCTTTTCTAAGCTGAGCAGCGCTAGTCTCTTCAGTCTCTCCTCATATGAAGGCCATTCCATACCCTTAATCATCTTGGTTGCCCTTCTCTGAATCTTTTCCAGCTCCACTTTATCCTTTTTGAAAAGGGGTGACCAGAACTGGATTCCGGTTTCAAGGGAGGGGGGTGCACCACAGATTTATATAGTGGCATTACGATATTTTCAGACTTATTTTTTTTACCTTTCCTGATAGCTCCTAAAATTATTAGCCTTTTTGACCATTGCTGCATAATGAGCTGAAGTTTTCAGAGAACTACCTAGGGTGGCTCCAAGATCTTTCTTGAGTAGTAACAGTTAATTTGGAACCCATCATTGTAAACGTGTAGTTGCAATTATTTTTTCCAGTGTGTATTACTTTGCATATCAGTCTTGAATTTCATCTGCCATTTTGTTGCCCAAACACCCAGTATTGTGAGATCCCTTTGTAGTAACTCTAATTTTTTGCAAGTGCCTTCAGAGTAAGTAATGCCTTCCTCAATCTATACGTCATGGACCAGATACTGCCATCTTTATTCACCTTGAGTTGTACCTAAATCCACAATTAGTCCCACTGGATTCACTTGCAGAGTAAAGTAATTAATTTAAGAGTAGCAGAATCTGTTCCTCAACAAGCACAGTCCAGAATCTTCTTTTTTTAACCCATAATTATAAAAGCAAAGTAACAGGTTATGTTCACTGAGTTACACAAGCCCCTCAACATTTTATATCATCAAATGCTTTTGCTTTTCAGTTAAAAGATTTAGTTGGTTCAGTCTAAGTGCGAGAGGCACTCCAGCCAGTGGAAGATTTATCAAGCCTATGTTTAGCACAATGTCACACACACCGAGGTGCTCAATAAAGAAATAAAAAAACCAAAACTGTAAAAATCAGCCCTTTGCAAGGCGGTTACAATGAATAACTTCTAGATATATGCTCTGCATGTTATCAGTTTCCCTAAAAACAGAGAGTACCCTCTTCAGTTAATCATAGTGAATGTTCAGAACCAGCCTCAGGTGAAACTATATTGAACTGATCAAATCTTGACACTGCTTTCAGCAGACTAACAGTCAATTCCAGAGGGACCTGCTTGTAAAGAACCCCACGTAAGAAGGGATTGAAGTGGGGGGCACAGCTATTGGTTTATAAAAGTGTACATAGCTCCATTAGCCCAAATCCTGCATAGTGAGAAATGGAAAGCTGACCACATTAATCAGTGCACGCTCTGTAGTAGCAGGTGCAGCCCAGCTGTGTAGGCAGCGGAGACAGTTGCAGCAGAGGGTTCTATTTCTCAGCCCTGTGACATGTTTTGTCTGGTTCAAAACTTATTTTTTATTTCCCTTTACAAAAGCCACATTTATTTGAGCATAAGCTTTCGTGAGCTACAGCTTACTTCATCCGATGAAGGGAGCTGTAGCTCATGAAAGCTTATGCTCAAATAAATTGGTTAGTCTCTAAGGTGCCACAAGTACTCCTTTTCTTTTTGCGGATACAGACTAACACGGCTGCTACTCTGAAAAAAAGCCACATTGACTCTTCCGCAACAAATTACTTTCATCTAGGTGCCTGATAATTCTGTTCTTTACTATAGTTTCAACCATTGCCTGGTACTGAAGTTAGGTTTACTGGCCCGTAATTGATTTTTTTAATAAATAAATAAATAAAATCAGTGTTGCATTAGCTCCCCTCCAGTCATCTGGTCCTGGGTGTGGAGGTGTATTAGGAGTGGAGAAGGGGAGGAATAGGGGTTTAGGGCTGCAATGAGTGGTGGATGGTAGGGCAGCAGGCAATGTTGGGGAACTCAGGTGAGGGAGGCATGGCACGCCCCAACTATGCCAGAGCACCCCAACTCTCCCTCAGCCCCAGCTTTACCAGGGCACCCAACCCCTGTGTACTCCACAGCTCACCCAATGCACCCAACCCCTGGAGCCCCAGCTCTGCCAGCGCACACCATCCCCCCACACTCCCCCGCCCAAAGTCTTTGGGCGAAAAATCAGGCATGTGAATGCTTCCTAGGCAGTGAGGGGGAAAGTAAGGGACAGAACAGTGGGAGATTAGGGAGATGAGGAGTTTGGGGCTGCAGCAAGGGGAGCAAGGCTGGGGTCTCAGGTGAGGGAGGCTTGGGGGAGTGAAGGGATCAGACACTAGGAAGAGGGATGTGAGGGTGAGTGGCAGGGAACTAGGGGACAATAGGAGCAGTGGCACTTGTCAGCCCCACATTCTCCTCCCAGGTTTGTGCCCAGATCTGAAGGGCTCTTACCCCCAAAGGGGAGATCTAAGCCCCCTCCCTGTCCCACTCCTATGATCTGGGATATGGAGGCCATGCCCCTCTGGGGTGCCTGAGCCCCTCTTGCTGCCCCCCCCAATTGTGTGCCAGGATCTGAGGGCCCTGTACTATCTAACCTCCCCCCCACATCAAAGCCAGGTTCTGGGGGGTGGGGGGGTGCTGCCCTTTTAGAAGTGAATGAGTCCTCTTTCCTGCACCCCATATGAACCAGTATCTGGGGAAGTCCTGCCCCTTTGATTGGGGAGCTGAAAACAAGTCTACTTTATGCATATCACAGGCTAGAAAGCACTCAGGAGGGGGATAGGAACACCCACTAAGATGAATGGAGCCACTCACACACACACCCCTGTTGTTTCAGGTGGTGCTCACCTCCATGGGGCGTTCTCATTTAGTCGAGAACGTCACACTGAGATGACTGGGCCACTTTACACCTTTCAGTGCCTCCTATGCTGCAGATGGATGTGCAGGGGAGCCCTTTCCCGCCATCGTCCCGCTACCCTTGTTTAAAGGCTGAGGCTTTAAGAGCTCTAAAGTCTGCATGTTTGCGTGGATTTTCTTGCAATTTGCTATGACTTGTGGGAGTGACCCACGTTTGAGGCCATTTGAGTCTGGGGTTCTGGAGGTATATGCCCTGAAGAAAACAGCCATTTTTCCAAAGTTTCTAGGTGGATCATTTTTATGCAGAGCTAGAGATCAAACTATGGTTGTGATTCAGGTCAAAATAGTCTCCACTGGTCATTTTTTACCCAAGGTAGTGCATGGCCCCCACTAAGTCTTTGGGGACCCAAATTGTGAATGGTATTTAAGAACACGTTCACTTTGCTTGCGCAGACATGCAGCGTGGAAGGATTACAGACAATAACGAAAAAAACTGTGAGAGGATTTCTATGCAGCCATTTTATGGTTGCCTGGATAGTTTGAGGGAATGTGCCAATGCCATTGCCCTGGGGAACACCCCGTCACCAATATTTGTACAGCTGTGCAATAAAGAAAGAACTCCTCATGTTGCTTGCTACAAGTTGTCTGTTATAATACATGATTTTATTTTATGGGAAGGCTTACTGTGAACATAAACAGAATAATCAGCAGTCAGTCTAACCAAAATGTTTGTTATATTGGATGGGGAGAAAATGGAAGCAGAGGACTGCATGTAGGTGGAGTGAGAGGGAGAGATGAAGAGGTTGCATTTGCAGATAGGTTGGGTAATGATGATGGGTGGTAGCCAAACCTTGGATTGGTTGTTTGGGGGTGGGGGGAAATGTGTATTTCACTAGCCAGTGGGGGTGCCAGTGGCCACTTCCTGATCTTAGGGCAGAATACTGTGGTGTTTTCAAAAGACACACAGTGCAGAGGTTTGGAACTCACAGCACAGGTACTTTGACCACGGAGGGAAAAGAAATATACGTGCACTGCCATGGTTGCCAACACTGGGCTCTGGGCGATACCTGGATCATGAGCTTGCAGGAGTTTGTTGTAGAGCAAAGAGTGCATTACAACATGAGGATGGCTGATTGCAGGACCTGGTATGTACAACTGCCAAAATGACTACTAACAATCTCTTTTCCTGATCAAAAAACTAGGAAATTAAATTGCAAAAAACTACATTAATTCAGAGGTAATGAGAGTGAATGGGTTGTAAAAGGAGGTGGACTATCAGGCTGGCAGAATGGAGCTCTGTGTGTTAAAGGGGCACATTGCTGAATAAGGTTGCGCATGCATTTCAACTCTGCATTTCCTTCTTTTCAGACATTTGAGTTTTGCTCAGCTCAGCACAGCTCTCTGCAAGGGGCGACATACCACCAAATAACCTTAACTCTGCATTAATGTAGTTTTTGCCACTAAATATAGACCAATTCTGGCCCTAAAGGGGAGTTTTTTGTGTCAAGAAATGATATTTTCAAATTCTACATTTGTTCTAACAACACTGAATACAAACACTTTGTATGGAACAACTTTACAATGGACATTTTCAAGCAAAAAAAATAATACCTTAGAGATTATTTAGAGACGGATCACCCCATTTCTAATGCAACACGAATTATGACTACAGTGTTCTGATGCCAGTTCTAATAAGTTGAAATACATCAGTAAATTTGTGGTATCAAACCATTTCCCCTCTCCAGGCATTTAGTTAAGTTTTTTTTCTCCACTGGGACAGCCTCATGAGATACCTCTCAAATTCAAACCCTGACCAAATAAGATAATAAAAATCATTACCATGTAGCCTTGGTCTCCCTTTTCTCCTGCCTTTCCTGGATACCCAAGTGATCCCTTAATGAAAAGAAAAAGTAATGTTTTCTCATTTAAAAAACATTTGTTGATGTCAATGGAAAATGAGAAGCAAAACTACTTACCTGCTCTCCAGTAATTCCATCAATCCCGTTGTCCCCATCATCTCCCTGAGGTAGCAAAAGTGATAGGGATTATATAAGACCTACTGATCTAAATAACCAGTATGTGCTCTCAGTCCAGCAAAAATGGTGTCCATGTGAACTCCTGTAGCTGACCATAGAAGCCAAAGTCATTGACAGATTTTAAAATATACAAATTAATGCTTAATCTATCTCATTTCTTCCATCTGCCCTAAGTACAACAGTAGAATAGACACTATGGCCAACCCTCAAAACAGGCTAAAAAGGATTAAAACCCTAATAGTACACCCACTGAAGTCCCTGGCTCTCATGGACTTTAACAGGATCAGAATAAGGCCCAAAAATAGTTCATCTGCACATTTATTTTCCTTTGATGCTCCAGGCTATTAGTCAACTTTAAGGGTCCAGATAGACTTCCAGAGCTAAAGTGACCACTAAAAGGACTGAGGGTGGAAGAGACCAACGTTAAGAGTATTTGCCAATAAAAAGACCAGTAAGCTGAAAGTCAAAATGATACCCAACTTTTATGTCATTCCAGTACATTTTTTTCCTTTATGTCACATGGAAGCTTTAACAGGGACATGTATTTTGTTTTTAACGACTCTTGTTTTTTCTTGACTGTAAAACTGGTGTCTTAAAACACACGCAATACATAGTCGCCCTGCATAATTGCTAACAGGGCGCTGGCACCATGTGGCAATGGTCACATCAAATTATATTTTCAGTAACGTGAATATTTCTATAATTCAATGTAAGCGTGCTGCTGTATGGATTATGTGGGACACTGATATTGTTGACGCCAATATTATTAAATTGCAAGGAATCTGACTAGATATGACGTGTGCGGTTTTGGCAAATGTGTTACAATTTGCCAAGTACGATAATCTTATTTATATGTTTGTATCACCTTTGTATCGTGAGTTATAGATATGAAGGCATATCTCTATTTCCAAACTTGTGCTGTTTTTATGGGTGCCACCTCCAGACAGATTGGCATCAGCACGTCCTAGCCTGTTTGATGGCCGTTTGACTATACAATGAACCCACTGAAAGGAACCAGGGATGACACCTTATGACTCAGCAAGGCATATAAGGGCATGCCTATGGACAGAACTCTAACGTTTTTCCATGCCATGTGCTGGACAGCTTGTGTTTGAAACAAAACTAGTACAAGCCACATGGCAAAAGAAATTTAAAAGGCAGCTGGCTGCATCATCATCTCCTCCATTTTGTCTTCAATCCTACTTCTGGCCTCTGCAGTAACTTTTCTAAAACTGAGGCTCTGAACAAAGGACCGAATGACCCATCCAAGCTGTTGATGTGTTCCAGAGGGAATTTCGAGGCAGCAAACTTACTAATACTGCTAAGAACCTGATATTTGGACTTTGAAGTCTCTGTATGTATTTGATTGCTTCACCATTTTACAACAATTCTTCTTGTTCTCTCTTTTTTCTTCAGAATAAACCTTTAGTTTGACACACTAAAAAGACTACCATGCTGCCAGCCATTTTGGGTAAGATCCAAACCTATACTCATCTGGTAACGTGGCTGGTCCTTTGGGGTCAGAGGAACATTTTGTATAGGTGAGCAGAGTTTTAAAATAACTCACTGGACTGGACCTAGGTGCTGACTGGGAGCCAGAGAACTGGAATGCAATAAAGGGGGCTGTGTGATTTCTTTTTTTTTTTGCTTCTTGATAACCGGTGGGGGAGGATCAGAAGCACAGTTTGTGACTGGTTGGTGAGTTTACTTCAGTGTTAACCACCAGTCTTTGGGAGAACCTGCTCTCCTTTTTGCAGCCTGCCCTGACCTTGGCATTTCCAGTGAGGGCTGCCTTAGGCACCATGGGTCACAGTAAGTTTTTACAATCTTACTGCAGAAAGCAAACGCAAATCCCTAAGCCCTGAATTAAACACAAAGATAATTTGCAGTGTGATGAATCCAAGAATCACTTAGCATTGGATTTTATTCTCTTGGGAGTCAACAAAACTACTTCTGGGTAAAGACCACAGGATCGAGCCTTTAAACAGCATCAGACTCATACCAAAGATCTTCAAACTTAAGGATACTTACACTGAAAGATGAATTAAGACAACGTGTCTATATGAAGGTCAGGGCGTACCTTTTCTCTTCTCCCTCCTCCTTTAATGCACTTTTATCTCACCTGATTTGTAGTCAAATCAACACAAAAGTTTTTCAGAAAATAAGTGCATTAGTACTGTACCTTTTTACCAGGTATTCCTTGGTATCCCTGAAAAGAATGACAACAAATATTTGTTTGAATGAGGTAAACAAAAAATAAATGCAAAGACATTTTGCGGAGTTAAAATAATGTTATCAGTAGATTCTTACTTTAGGACCTTTACTACCATCACATCCCTTATTCCCTTGCTCTCCCATTGGTCCAGGCAGTCCTCTTGAACCCTGAAAGAGAGAAAATGAAAAACACATCTTAGTATATCCTGCCTAGGAAATGAAATATGAAGTTTGTAAGGAGAGTGATCATGTGTTTGACCAGGGGCGACTATATTCATGAGATGATGTAATACTAGAAAGGGAGCATGTATGTTAAGGAATATGGTAAATCTCTGAGAAAGCCCCGCATAAGCTAGATGTTTCAGAAGCCTGAGCAGACTTAGATTGAGCTAAGTGCTTGTGCAGTTAAAACCGCTGTAGTTTCTCTCTGGAGTGCTTACGAAAAACATTACAAGCTTCTGATATAGATATACATGTATTTACACTTGGTATGAAACTGTAATATAATCACTTACATAATGAAAAAGAAAGTACTGAATTGAAAAAGCAAATTGACAATTAATGTTGCTCACCTCCACTATAGATAGCGGTGGGGCACTTTCCTTCATTCTGCTCTTAATACTACTCTACTTAGAGAGTTCCTGCTTGCGGGGGAGGGGAAGAGGGCCAGAGGAGGAAGAGGGTGTTGCTGCAATGAAGACCTAGGCCCAGTGGGCAAAAAAGCATGGAGTGATCATTTTTCTTCAGTGAGCACAGTCCAAAGGCCAAATTCTGCTCTCAGTTACACAGAAGTGTGGTGCGGTGCGGAAGCCATGCTGGCTCTACACCCTCGTGGGACTCTCCCACACTCCCCCAGAAGGGGAGAAGAGGGCAGAGTATACTCCCTTTGCACCACCTGAGCAGTGCAAAGCAAGTGGGGCGGTGAATCTGCTCCATAGTATCGTGACCCCAAATTAGACATTAAATACATTCTAACTCGCCTCTTATCACGTGCTACAATAGTTTCTCTGGTGTACTTCTCATGCAGTTCTACTTGTCAGACCACATTCATGCACTGTGCTGGTATTTTCCATCTTAGTGCACCCATGCACTTTCCGCTACAAGCAGTAACCCAGGAGCCACACCATTAACAGGTATGGTTTAAGGGAGTGGAAAATAGGACGGATTATATTTGTGCTTATCTGTTGTGTTTCTTAATCTGAAACAAATAGTTAAAATTGAAAATACTGTTTCTTTTTATTGGGCCTGAATCACCACTACGTTACTCAGTTTTATGCCCATGTAACTCCATGGGTTACACACTGGAGTAATCCAATAATGAATCAAGCCATGTATATAGAAAAACAGAAGGCATGAAACCCAATTAGAAATGGAGTGGTGCCCATTAGAAGAAAATGTTTCCTAGTGTCTTTCTTGTGCCATGTGCTCGGTCTCAGCAGCTTGCAGACATCAAAGATTACATAACTGCATACTATGGGTCCAATAGTGACTGCATCAGCATCCACTTGCTTACCTACTTTGCATACTATTGGGGATATTATTTTCACACACAGCTAGATAAGTTCCTAACTAAATAGGCACCTATAAAGGAATGCGTTACCTAGGGAGGTGGTAGAATCTCCTTCCTTAGAGGTTTTTAAGGTCAGGCTTGACAAAGCCCTGGCTGGGATGATTTAACTGGGAATTGGTCCTGCTTCGAGCAGGGGGTTGGACTAGATGACCTTCTGGGGTCCCTTCCAACCCTGATATTCTATGATTCTATGAATGCATGTGCACCAGTTTGTACACATACTTTGCATGTAAGTATTTAGTTCACATGCAAATACTTGCCTACTTACTTGCTGAAAATTAGGTTTTTCTCTTTTCCCTTTGCTTATTGAATCTTTGAAAAATAGGTCTGGAAGGTACCTTGAGAAGTCATGAAGTCCAGCCCCTGCACTGAGGCAGGAACCAAGGGAGGGAGGAATTATTTTAATTTCTAAATATTCTGAAAAAATATAAGCCTTGAATTCTCATGTAGACCAACAGGATTTTAATCAAGAATTTATATAAAAGTTTCTCCAAGAGATCCCCAAGTTTTTAGAAATTTGAAAGAGAAGGAACTATACATTACCTACAATTCTAGAGTATTAAATATTGACAAAGTGCTGAATCTTGACAGTTTTTTGAAAAAGATATGCCAATTTTATTTTAATCAGAATGATTTCTTTGGTATCAAGATTAGGAAATCCCCCCTTCCCCATCAGGTTATTACATTTTTTTAAAATACGGACCCCAAAAAAAGTCTTTATGGGCACTTAGTTTTGAAGTATTTTTTCTTAGTAAAATGTAGTCAAATGTTATAACTTACCGGCTCTCCCTCTTCTCCTAAGTGTCCTCGACTGCCTTCTATACCTTTAGATCCCTGAAATTCAGACAGTAAAAGTGAAGATTAATACTAAAATTCTCTTTACTTTAAAAGGTGAAACTATTAAGGATTGTCCTGATGGGTTACTTTATTTAGGAACGGCTAAAAGTTTGCAAAAGGCAGTTTTATTCTGTACATTGCAAACTTCATTCCTTTGTTGATTGTGTCTTCAAAGCACTCTTTAAAAAAAAAAAAAAAAAAACACCAAATACTGGAGAAATGGGTTCAGCAAAGCAGGATAAATGGATAACCTGCAGGGAGAAATCATTTTAATTTCTTAATATCAGCTTTTTAGGACATAGGTTCTCAAACTGTGGTCCGCAGACCACCAGTTGTCCGCGAGCTCCATTCAGGTGATCTGCGGATAATTCCCTCTAAGGTGCGCGCCTGGGCGGCCACACACAAGAGAATGAAGGGCCACCCACCTAATTAGTGGCACTGCGCAGGTGTGGCTCCACTAATTAGGTGCCTGGGGGGGGGAGGGGGGAATAGCAGGTAGGTGGGAGGAGGCAGTAGGGTGAGAAGAGGGGTAGGGGGAATTTGGGATGTGCAGATCTGTGGTGGCCAGAGAAAGGCGACTTTCTCCAACTCAGGGGCTGTCGCAGCAAGGGAAGACCCCCCCCTTCCCAGCCCCAACTTGGGGGCTGTCGCAGCAAGGGAAGACCCCACCACCTTCCCAGCCCCAACTTGGGGGCTGCCATGGCGAAGGAGAGAGGGCACATCAATTGCATTAGAAAGGTAAGACTACTGATATTAAAATATGAGTTGTGTGCATTTGTAGAACAAAAAACTATAATTAAGATTTTTTTTAATATAGAGCTTTTATCCAAAGTGCTTTACAATAGTTAGCTAACAAACAACATTTGGGAAGATCATTAAATGGTCCGCTGAGACCCCCAGCAATTTTCAAGTGGTCCACACAAAAAAAAATTTGAGAACCACTGTTTTTGGAATAATAAAAGCAGCATCTAAGTCACCTAAAAGAATATTAAACATTAACAAAGTGTGGAAACTGGACTTTTTTTTTTTAAAATGACAAATTTTTAAAAATTCAAATAAAGCAACAGTTGAAAAATCACTATCTTCTTTAGGCTTTACAACTGGTTTGATTTTATACAGCTAGACTTACCAGAGCAGGGGTGGGCAAACTTGACCCAAGGGCCACATTGGGAAATAGAAATTGTATGGCGGGCCACAAATGTTCACAAAATTGTGGTTGGGGGCGGGCTCTGGGGTGGGGCTGGGGATGAGAGGTTCGGGATGTAGGAGGGTGCTCTGGGCTGGGACTGAGGGGTTTGGAGAGCGAGAAGGGGATCATGGCTGGGGCAGGGGTGTGATGAGAGGCTCAAGTGGCTCCCAGAAGCAGCGGCATGTCCCTTTTCCGGCTCCTATGCGGAGGTGCGACCAAGCTGCTCTGCAGGCTGCCCTAGCCGCAGGCACCATCTCTGCATCTCCCATTGGAGCATGTAAGGGTCGGAGCGGGGCCATGTTGCGGCTTCCGGGAGCCACATGGTGTGGCCCCCACCCCAGCGCCCTGGCTGGAGTGGGGCTGAGCCGCATGGTGCGGCTCACAGACCAGATTAAAATGGCTGGCAGGCTGGATCCAGCCCGCAGGCCATAGTTTGCCCACCCCTGTACTAGAGTATATTTTTTCAGCATGGTTTTGCCAGTCAGTAGTATATCCGGTCTATTTATGCTGTGAGTATTTTGTGTTTGTTCATTGCAGATTCCCCCCCCCCCCAGGAGCCAATTCAACTTTGGAATTATTTTTTTAAAAATAGATCTCATGTTGTTTGGCCTACCTAGCTACTGCCTCTCAGGGAGGTAGGCTGCCTACACCGACGGGACAATCCCTCGTCAGAGTAGGGAGCGTCTATACTGGAGCACTACAGCGGCACAGCTGCAGGATTTTAAGTGTAGACAAGCCCTGAGAATAGATACAGGCAAAGGCAATAAAAGTCTTCCTATAAAGCTCCAACCCTTGAATTTTCCTGGACTTGGCTGGCCCCCGTATAATTACAATCCAAATGAAAGGTCACAAAAATTTTCTTACTTTATTTCCTTGTTTCCCTCGGAGTCCCATTCCACCTTCCTCCCCAATGCACTTGCAAAAAACAGCGCAGCACGTCCTTTCAGCAACGTTAGTCTCAGAAAAGAGGAAGAAACTACATGTGAAACTTCATTTTTCATTCATACGTCCTTGATCCTGAGCACATTTAAGACATTGAGAGTTTTGCATTTAATTCAGGAGGAGCATGATTGTGCCTTACATTCTACAGGCTAGATTCTCAGCTGTGGCTAAGCAGCACTCCGGGCAGCAGGCCTTTGCAGCACCCTGATCCTATCTGGCAACCAGGGCTGGTTCCAGGCTAAATTAGAGCAGCCTCTACTCTTCCCCTTCCTCCCCCCCCCAGCCGCACTCCTTGCACCAACAGCTGCCAAGCTAAGTGGGCTGCTCCAGTACCATGAGAAGATTCTCTTACACAGTGGGAAAAGTCAGCTGGCTGAGCAAGTTGACTCTAGGCCTGTCAGCGTTGGCACAAAGCAGCCCGAGCATACCAGAGAATCTTGCCCTCTGACTATTGTATTCAGTTGTGAGCCTTATTTAGTTCTTTAAGAAAATGACTAGGGCCTTAATCAAAACTCTAACTAGACACACTGGAGCTTCTCTGAATGACTTACCACATACTTGGACACTGCTTTGGCAATATTTCTCATGCCAATAGTTAATTGAGTCATGTATTCAAATCCTTTTCCAAACTCAATGTACTGAAGCTCATCAAATTTAGAGGCTCCTTCCAGAACAACAGTTATCAGTGCATCCAATCCTATTTAAAACATTGACCATAAATGAGCAAAAACAAACAAAACGTTTATCCAAATGAATATTGTAGACAATTATTTAGTTGATAGGATCCTTGCGTGTATGAATTCAGATTATTATTATTATAAGGGTAAAACAAAGATTATAGATTAGAGAATGAAAGTCATGATTTATCTTCACATTTTATTTTTAAGAGTCCATAATTAATTTATAAAAAATAAATGGGCCAGTGGCAATCTGGAATCACTAGCAACCATGGAATGAATTCTGTGTGTGAAGTTTGAGCATCAAAGAACATGTGACCACTGTGGCTGTCAGCACAATTATTTCCAGAATATTTTGTCCTTTCACCTGAAACCAAGTTTTTAATTTTCAAAATAATACTGCCTTGTACTAAAATTGAGTTTAAAGCTGAAGAGAAAAAACACACACTGGGCTAGATCATCAGCTGAGGTAAATCCAAAAATGGAATAAAATAGATTGAAAAATATCCTAGTATCATGGCCAGAATTTTCAAAAGAGCTCAGCTCCCACATTTAGGACTAGATTTAAAAAACAAAAAAACAAAAAAACCCACCACTTCAGCTCCCATATATACACACCAAAATAAGAGGCCAGATTTTCACTAAAGCTCAGCACATTGGGTACATGTGAGCACTTTCGAGAATCAAGCCATCAGCACCACAGTCCGAGGCACTGCATGCTCAGCCCTTTTGAAAATCTGTTCCCAGTGAAAGGTGCTGAGCAAATCTGGTGCTTTTCCTATATTTATTTCATGACCTTGTACCACTTGTTGATGATTGTGGGTTATCACACCACATCATCATGCATGGAAGCTTCATGACAAAGCAAACAAAAAGCAATGATAGAGAGAGCCACTAATTCAGAGTGCTATGTCCTATCTCCATATCCTGGCTGCTAAAAGGGAAGGCATTATTTTTTCTTCTGTCCCTTTTTCACCTGCCTTTCTTCAGCTAAAGAGCTTTGGGTTGAGTAACACTCTTACAGACCCTCTCAAAGTAATTTAATTTAAATATTTGTCCGCTTTAAGATACCTTTTTTTCTGAGTTCTTCTGACTTTTGTTCAAGTTCTTCTACATCTTCATCCAAACCATCTGAAAACACAAGTAAAACCTAAAGAGAGAGAGAAAATCACAGGAAGTCAAAAGCAGAATTAAAACAAAAGAACTTATTTTTGGTCCAAAGTCTTGGTGTAAGGGACTAGGTTACCTTCTTTCTATTTTGATCATCAGCTTTGCTTGGAAATGTTTTCCAGAGTGACTCCAGGAAGTTGCCATTGAGATGAGATGGTTGGTCAATCATGATATTTCTCAGGTTGTTCAGTATTTTCTCACTGTCAAATTGGAACTTTGAAGACACGGGTGTAACTGTGTTGTTCAGGTAAACAGCCACACTGCTCTGTGTCTTTGTCCCTACATTGCAACTCAGACTGCTTAGGGATGTGAGAGCTTTTAGAATGTCAGGAAGATATGCTTTCAGCTGGTACTGTCCATGGAATAAATGGTCACCTCTCTTTTGTGAGGAGATGTCAAATCCCATAACAATATCCACAAAACAAGCTATAGTGGAGAAGAAAACAAAATATCACAATTTAATGCACAAACAAATTTAGGTGGAGGAATAGAGAAAAAGAGGGGGACAGAGTTTAAGCTAAAGAATCATGGTAATTGTAGAATTCAGTCAGATACGGACAGGAAAACAAGACAACAGTTGGTGGATAGAATATGTATAGAGAGGTCCTTAATGTCTTTAATCCAGATCAGAGCCAAATTCACCCTGAATTCATCTTTTACACCAGCAGAATTATTTCAGGGATGAACTTGCCTCGATATATGTACTTCTGCTGAAAAGAAAAGGGAGACACTTTCAAACATAGCAATTGTAATTAACTTAAAAAGTATTTTTAAGTTCAATTATTTTTTCATCTGAACCATTTAACAAATTTTACTCTTATTGAGGTCAATGTGAATTTTGTTGTTTACTTCAATGGGAGCAGAACTAGTCCAATTTCATGTTAGTCCCCATCCCCAACAATAGTTAAACAGACTGAAACTTTTTTTTTTTTTTTTAATAGTGCACTGTGTTGGAAGATGCTTTAAGAGTTAACGATGCCGTACTAATAGTCTGTTCAATACACCTAGAAGTCATACTGACAATTCTGTCTCACATGTAGGTCAATACTAACACAAAGGGTGGAACACCTTAAATCAAGATGATTTAAAATGACAACTTAAAAAAAATTGATTTAAGTTAGGTTAAGCCTTTATAAAATTAATTTGAAATTTTGTGCTATTGCAACTTTAGAATAAAATTTATAATGTACTTGATTGTAAGTGCTGCTTTTTTAAATGCCAGTGGTGGTGGGGTATCTTATTTGAGTTTTACAAAACTGCTATAGGCAAAAGAAAAGTACTAAAAATTAAAACCCTGATTGTGCAGGCATTTAAGAAGTATCTAACTTTACTCATATGAATAGACAATGAGGCTATGCTTTTAAATTTAAATAGATGCATGAGCGCTTGTATTTTTATGAAACATGTCTTAGTGACAGTATCACTTCAGAGCAAAACAGCTTCTGTGTTAACACTAAGAAGTTATTTAGACTTTCAGTACATTAACAGTTATTATGAACTTTTATTTATACAAATGGGCAATTTTTAAAAAAAATATATCTTAAAGTTAATTACCTAAATATGAGCTTAAGGATCAAAGAAATTTTCAAGACCACATAAAGACCACAAGTCCTAGGGGCTCCCAACTGCAACTGCTGATGGAGGAGTACAGCCTGGTCAAAGCATTTCAGTTTCTTGACTTATGGAAGTTCAGTATATCCAAGATTGTGTTGGTTGTAAATATAGCTCACCTATTTTGTGTCGAGTTTGTGTTGTTCTCACAGTAAGGGTTAATGGAGAACTGGAATTATTTTCTGCATAAATGAGTATTTTAAGAGTGAAATCTCTCAATTGAAAAAAAGTCTGTGTAAAACCTCAAATTCCAACAGTTAGGAAACTAATTGGAGAAATAAGTATAAAACATCCACTTTAGCAATTTAAACCTATGAAGTAGGAAGAAAGTAAAGAATTTGCAATGTGTAAATAAAATATATGATTCAGTCTAAAAGGTTAAAATCAAATATTCAAATTTAGATTCTTTAATAATACAATATGGTATGCCTGCACCTTATGAACAAATCACTTATTTCTTTTGCCACCAATTACATCTTTCTATGTTCTTGCTACTGCCAATGCTACTACATGACAGGGTTAGAGCAGCTGCACCCCCACACCAGAGAAAGAGGGCAAAGGCATACAGGGAAAAGGAAGCAAGTGATACTCTTTCCCAATCTGGAGATTTGTTTTCATTAGTCTCAAGCTCTAGGACCAGGCTCTAGTGAAAGAAAAGGAGAGAGCAGCTCAGTGCTCGGTCAATGGCTGTGAGGGCAGAGAAAGTGCCAGCCCAAAGAGGAGGTGAAGAGTAAAATATCAGGCAAGGCAAAGAAAAATAAACTCCTTTCTTCAATGGGAAAGTAAAAAGGAGGCTCCTCTGAGCCAATGAATTGCAGGCTGAAAATCAGAATAGCTGTAGCAAGGAGATCCAGATACCCTAGAAGCAAAGGGAAGACGCACAGGGGTTGGAGGGGGGGAGGGGGGGACACGTTGACATAAAGGCATATAAGCTGAAGGAAAGTGATTGTAAAGGATCAGAAGCTCTGTTTTCAAGGCAGTGGAGGTTAGTTGGCCAGATTCTGCCTTCTGCCAAGATCTGCTTAGTACAAGAAAGGAGGACTGGCCACCAGGGAGTTTGTTACGACTTATTAGCATGGCTCTGTCCCAGCATGCTTTGACTCAGCCCAAAGGTGGATTTCTATTGGCTGGGCATAGCAAGGAGCCTGCAGTCAACTTGATGGCATTCCTCTGTCTGTTTGGATGAAATACAATAACTTTTGAAGAGGCATCTGCTAAGAAGGCAGCTTCAACCAAGTCTGTAATTACTTATCTCTCAGACAAAGAAAAAAGAATGGTGAGGGGAGAAGAGGAAGCTGGGGGGGCGGGATCCTGCCAGGAGGATCGGGTTGCAGTGAATCCCTGAAATAAAGGGGGATGGGAGAGAAGCAAGGAGCTTGACCTACGGAAGCTATAAAGTGTGCGACCCCCTAGTTTATTTTGAAAGTAGGAGCAAAACAGGAGTATGTAAACAAAGCATTTTCCCTGCATGTTCCAACCAGTAATTTTGGGCCAGAGTAATTTATAAATGCTGTAGCTAGAAAACTCAATCCTGGCTTTTATTAGTCCTCAGTGATGGTCAAAAATAATACAAGTTTGAAGAAAAATAGCTCTAGAGGTGGGACAGAGACAAGAAGTCAGGATTGAAATCTGAATTTCCCCCTTATTCATTTATACTTACTTGTAGGAACAACAGGTTTACATAGGTCATCAACTAGTCGTTTTTTAATAATCTTCAGCTCTTTGAAATCATGAACAGTGTACTTCCTTTCTGAGACGCCAGCTATTTGCATGAGCTGTGAGTGATCAATATCCCCAACTCCTATAGCATATACATGAACACCTTCCCTTCTCAGATATTCTGCTGGTTCAGCAACATCATCAAACGACTTCCCGTCAGTGACTACCAGCAAAACTGGCTGGACATTTCTTGTTACTCTTCTGCTGCGTGCTGGTGCAAAGAATTCCTTCACCTTCCTAAGTGCAGCTCCAATTAAAGTGCGAGTTCCTGTCATCTGTTTAATGTTCTGAATTTGAATGTTCAGTTCTGATTTGCTCTGAAAAGCACCCAGGCTGAATTCTCTTTTATACCCATCACTGTACTGGGCAATGCCAATTTCAACATTGTGCTCATAATCAATCTGATCTATTATATCTTTCAAGAAATTCTTCATCCTGGTGAAGTCATTTGGTTGTATACTATTGGAACCATCAATCAAGAAAACAAGGTCTGCTTGAATTTCACACTCTGAAATGGAAAAAAAAAAAGGGAAAATTAGCTTATTATTTATATAGTGCTCATAATGTGCTGGGCTCTTCACAGATAAATAAACGACAGGATCCCTGCCCTCAAAAGAGTTTTCAGTCTAAACAGAGACAAGACAAAACAAGTGCAGACAAACACAAAGGAAGTGGGGAAGGTGAGAGCAGGACAAGGCTTACAAGTACAAGACTGTGTGATTACTTCAGTGGTTCTGCACACATCTTGTTGATTCACTTTATGTGTATTTTTATTACATGGAAATAATCACAATCATACTCTGAATCCTATTCGGGTTTTTTTAAAGATCACTTTGGGGAGAGAATGAGCATGAGGGAGTGTAGAGAGGAAGACTGAGGGGAAGAGGAGGAGGAAAGCTCAAAAAAAAAAAAAGAGGAAGGAAAGAGGGATAGAGGCTGGCTGACATCCTACAGCAGGATGAGTGTGGTAGTTGAAGAGAGATGGAAGGAGATTAGGACAAACAACAAATCAGTTGGGCAATCAGCAAGTGTAAAGGCAGATCAGAGTTTGTATTTTAGAGGACAAAAATTCTGATAACATGAGGACATGGATTGGGGGTGAGTGAAGGTACTTCCCACCTGTTCCCTGCTCTGCTGCTGGCAGAATGAGAAAAGTTTCTGGAGCTGGGGCTTTAAGAACACTCCAAAGCTCCTCCTGCTGTTTTTCTAAGTGGTCAGGGAGATGTGGCTGTGAGCCAATATTCCCAGGCATCTCCTGGTTGGATCTGGCATGAGATGGGGATTTCTGTTCCTCACTGATGGGAGCAGAGCTCCATGGGGTGAGGTTTTTGAGACTGGAGCAACAGTGCACTGTTACAGGCTCACACAGAACCTGTGGGGAGGAGCAGAGATTCAGGAGAAGGACACTGCTGAATACAGGAGAGCTTGGAGGAGGTTCCAGAAGCAGAAACCCTCCGAAGTATTTGTAAAGGGACAGGCGTACAAGCATACATAAAAACAGGGCATGTAGGGAACAGGGAAAGCAGTCTGTGCAACAACTGGATGCTAGCATGGAAGGGCCCCCCAAACAAGCCAGTGAACTGCAGACCTTACACATTCCAGCAGGTGTTCTGCTATTGTCCTCAGATAACAGAATGAATTAGAAGAACCTCAACTACTAGGCTTCAGGAGACCCAACCCTTTACTGGACTTTCCCCTTATGGCCAAGTTAACAATGGTCATTGTTGTAACTGACAAAAGCCTTGTCTACACTGGTGGCGGTGTGTAGGATATGTGTAGCTACACACCACGGTGAAAAGCAGGCTGCATCAACACTGTACTGGGTAACTACACCTCAGGGAAAAGGCTCAGGCAACAGGGAGCTGCCAGAGCCTTTCCTCACTGCCTGATGCTTGCTAGAGCCTTTCCTCGCAAGAGGGACACTATACTGCTAAAAATAGTGTCGACAGGGGAGGCACAACTTGGGCACATAGAGAGAATAGGATATATGCCCTAAGATTCTGGCATGTCTTTATTTTCCTAAGCAGAGCCTCTCTGTCTTGTGCTCTTTATACCTGTGGTAGAGAGGCATGTAGTGTATGTACTCTGCACCCCACTGTCAGCGTAGATCTAGGCTAAGGTGTTGTAATAAGAGTATGCATGGACCTTTCCTCCCAGCCGTAGTCAACTATTCGTTCACACAGGCGTGCCTCCGAGTGCTTCCTGGGAGCCCTACAGGACCTAGCCCCTACGGTGCTTGCCTCTGAGGCGCAGTAAAGCTGTCACACTACTGACTATCTAAAGAAGTTTGGTGGACAGCAGCACTCCAGTAGCCCCAGGAGGAGAGGTTGATTACAGTCCACTCTGACCCAGGGCACCGGTCAAATAATACAAACAGCAATTTGTAAATATTCTTGTGACTAAATACATTCACACTGATGGTATCCATGGAATCATGTTATTCATCACTTGCAAATATTCCAACAGCTGCCAGACGAGTGAGAAAGCTGTGGGAGTCACAGGAGTGCCATGAATTTTAATTTGAATGCTCATCTGAAAATCTATACTAGAAATACATTGTTACTTGTTATTCTTTATTCACCTGTAAAAAAAAATTACAATCATCCAATCGGGGAGCAGAAACATCATGTGACTTATGTTGGCCCACTAACAGTGCAAATAATGAACAGAAAATAAGTGAACAGTTAGCAAAAAGCCCATAGGGTCACTGTAGCACAGGCCTGCTCACTGCCCCCTGGGCAACCCCTTACAGCCAGAGATCATTCTGCAGCACCCTCACTCTGTTATCCACCTTCCATGGCCCTTTAGATCTCATAGTTCAGAAGTGGTTCCAAGAATCCCACCAAAGACATCCCATTTATTGAGTCCTCTGACACATACTGGTCCTGTAGGCCCCAGGCAGTTCAAGGTCCCTCTCCAGATTAACACACAAAACACAAACTCACACAGTCTTCATCGCAGCTGGCCTTTACAGTCTCTCTCCTGCTTGTCCAAGGTCTCTCCCAGGTCTCACTGCCTAGAGACCTTCCTCCAACTTCAGCTTTTTTCCCTACTGACCCAGTGCCTTTACAGGAACCTTCTTGCTCCCTCCCTGCAGTCTATAAACCTAATTACAACTTTCTCTCCCACCCCTCTGAAGCTTCCTGCTTTTTTTAATCTGCCAGCTCCTGATTCAACCCAGGTGTGGTTCATCCTGCGGACGGTCAATGTAAAACTGTCTCACGGCCCACCAGTGGATTACCCTGAGAGGCTGCAAGTTGCCCACCACTGGACAAGAGGATGCCACTGTGCAGTTTGCATGGTGTAAGTTTCCTCATAATTGCCACTGCATTTTGATTGCCACTTGCAATTGTCCCCATCTGCCTGTTCTTGCCTATTTCCTCAGCAGAGCTCATCAACCAGGCCAAATCATGTGGTGCTTTTGTGATGTATGTAATTGATTAGACTAGTTGTTGTGGGGATAAGCAAACTGAAACCTGACCTCAGGCCTTTCAAAGTGAAAGGTTAGTGCCCTAATTTTACCCTTAATGAAAGTTCTGAACCTGCACAGACTAACAATATCATCAACTATTTAACCAATGAAAATCCTCAGTTGTAGGATCAAGTAAGGATAAACTTTAAGAAACTTCCCTTTTTCCCTATAGGGTGGCTTTCTAAAGAGAAAAGAATACCATAAGGAAGCTAGATAAACAAATGAAGCTATACACATTGCTTTGAAATTTTAGAGATGTGTCTCCCCATCTTCGCCAATTTTTAAATAAATTGATAAGGAAAGTTTAAACTGTATAGAGTAGTAAAAACAAACACTTACCTGGTTTTGAATCATCACATATTTTTTCTGATATTGCTATAGATGTGTTTTTGAGTCCTTCAAATGTACCCACATAGTAATATTTGTCTTCTGATCCGGCCATGGCCAAAAGCTCATCAGGTTTTGCTCCTTCTATCCCAACAGCATAGATAATAATTCCATTGTCTCTTAATCTCTTGGCTGTGTCACCAAGCTGTGCTTTATCATGCGACTCACCGTCTGTTATCACTATAAGAATCTGTGGAACTCCCTTGCTTTTGCGGCTGCCGTGCTCCTGAGCAAACAGAGCTTCCGAATAGTCAATTGCCTTGGCCGTATACGTTGAACCTCCTTTAGTTAAGTCATTCTGGATAGCCTCAACAATCTCGGATTTTGCTGTGTACTTATTAAGGTAGAAAAACGTTTCCGGTTCATCAGAATATTTTACAGCTCCAAACTGAACTCTATCTGGAGCGACATCAGATTTCTTCACCAAGGCAATCATGAAGTCTTTCATGGTTTGGTATTGCAAGGGACTTATGCTCCCAGATCCATCTATCACAAACACAACATCTAATCTTTCTATCCTTTTGCATTCTGTAAAAGAACAAATGACAAAACAAAAAAACCCAAACAGATAAGTACATACGGACTCTTACTGAATCTCTCTTATTAGTCCCTTTGTATTCAAGCAAAGCTTGTGAATTTGGATCACTTTTTGGAGGCAGCAACACAACTGAACATCCTATGTTAGGCATGTTTTGGGAAAATCCATCAGTGCACAACAGAAGAGCCTAACCACTAATCCTAAAATAACTGATAGTTTCAACTTAATCTAAAATCCAGAGAGACGGGGGGAAGAAATGAATGGTAACACAACAGAATGGGATCAAGCTAGATGATCGTAATGGTCTCTTCCGGCCTTAAAAAAAAAAAAAAAAAAAATCTATGAATCTGTATTCTATTAGAATACAAGCACCAACTAAAAGCTTGTGTTTTCCCCCCAAAAACATATTTTAAGTTTTTCATTTTTGGAGTTAAGTCAAATTTCTGTGACCCTTGTTCTACAGAGTCATCACACACAGTTTTATGTACTATTTACTAATGGAAATGAGCCAAATTCTGCTGCCATTTGCATCTATGCAACCACACTGAAATGCATGGAGACCCACCAGCATCAATGATAGCAGAATTTATTTTGTGCTTTGGATCTATTGCAATTTTTTTTCTGTGTGTAAGAAAAATGTTCAGTTTGGAGACTGAAGCCCTGCCACCCCTGCACAGCCCCCAAGGCCCTGTGTTGCAGTGACCAAAAAGGGCTGAACGGGACTTTTGTGAAACCCATTAAAACTACTCCTAAACTAAAGATCAGCATTTATGACGAGGAGATGGGAAGTCAATACCTGATTAACAGTTTCGTAAGGAGGACATTGTAGCTCCTAAACATGGAACAGAATTTATACCTTTCAGGGCATAACACAGTGGCAGGTTTGATCTGTTCTCACTTTGCGACAGCAAAAATGTGTTTTTTGCAATTGGATAAGTGAGTGAAAAAGATAACCAGATCTCAGTCCTGTAAGCCCCTGAGATGGAACATGCAATGTGCAAAGAGGAGGGAGATTCCTTGTGCTCTCCCCAGCCCCATTGCACACCCATGTATGGGGCCAGGCATAACCTGGCCCTGGGCTATTCCATTTTTCAGGTTCTTATGCACCAGCAAGCTGTGCAATGCCCCCCCAGAATTAGTAGCATGTGGTACTCACTACCATTTTCATCTATCTTTACACTGTTTTATGCCTCTTTTGCACCTATTTAAATGCTTCCATCAACACATTTTCTTAAAAGCCTTGGCTACATTGGGTTTGAACCGCATCTGGAACCCACATTGAAACTTGTAAATATGGTTCCAAGAAAACTAGTTTCCGGTGCTGTATTGCTGGCAACATGGATAGGGGCCAGACTCTCTGTGTGTGTCTGTGTCTATCAGGTAAATACAACCTATAGAGCCCATTTCTGCCCTCATTTACATGTGTACAATTTCTGTGACTTCAATAGAAATTGCTCCCTTGTAAATGAGGGCAGAACTAGGCCATTAGTGTAAACAAGAATCAGTCCCCAAGGATGTTTTACACTGCCAGAACACCACAAAAAAGCCTTAGTATAAGGGAGAATCAGATTCTTAGTCTTTTCTTACACACATTAGCATACATGTACTTTTAAAATATTATGAAATTTATATTATTTGTTTGAGAGAATGTAGCATCTTTGAAAGCTAGTAGGACAGACCTCCTGGTACTGTGATCCAAATTCTACCTTCATTTTCTTGCATGCTTCTCATCCCTGTAGGCATCTCCAAGAGAAGATGGCATTGCAAGGAGAAAGCATGCCTGTTTATTTACTTTATTACAATACTCAACTATCTGGACAGAACAAAATTCCTACACAGACTGACATGAGTTATTGAAAACAGCAGTACTTACCCTCATGAGGCCTGCATATTCCAAAGATGATCTCATCTTCTATGTGCTTCAGAATATCAAACTTCTCAACGTAAAAAACCAGCTCAGGCTTCCCACTAATCTCTTCCAGCTGAGTTTTATTTGCATTAAACACCCCAATAGAATAGATAACAACACCTTGATCACGTAGGCCTCTTGCTGGACTTTTTACTTCATCCTGCGCTTCCCCATCTGTTATGAGGATAAGAATCTTTTTGACAGCGGGACGCGCACCTTTGGCAGGCTTGAAATAATCAGCCACAAATGTCAATGCGCTTCCTGTTAGTGTATTTTCCCCTATAAGAGACATTCTATCAATAGCACTGAAAATGTCACTTTTTGAAGAGTATCGGTCAAGCTGGAACTCTTCCTTGTTTGTGCCACTGAACTGGACGGCCCCAACCTGCACTCGGTCTGCGCTGATGTCAGATTTGTTCACCAGTTCTCTCATAAAGTTTTTCATTTTCAAAAAGTTCTCTGGTCCTATGCTTCCAGAACTGTCCACTAGAAACATGATGTCAGCTGTCATTTCTCTGCAGGCTACAGAAGAAAACATTTATATTAGTATAACCCAGGCTGTACATTAAAAATAAGTAAATAGGCTTAACTGGGGCAGGATGGTCTGGGATAGATGGGTGGGTGCTAAGATTTCTGGCTGTGCTGGGTAAATGGGGGAATAATGAGGTAGGTGAATGGATGGGTGGGTGCTGTCTGGAGAATAGCTGGGTTGCGGAGCCTGGGGCCCTCTCTCACATGCTGTTACTGCCCCCTTCTCCGGTTGCTGCCATGCATTAGAATCTACTAAGGAGCAGCTAGAAGTGAGGCAGAGAGGTCACCCAAGTGTCACAGTAGCTTCCAGGAGAATCAACTGCAGAGCTGTCCCTGCAGCCTGACTGGGTGCATGAGGATCCGGATGGGCTGAGCACAGGTGTGACAGGGCTGCTGCTTGTGTGAGTGCCACCCGAGTTGCATGACACTGGACAGCACTGCTATAAGTTTAGTAGGGTTGCTAAGGAGAGGTTTGCTAGGTACATGCATTTACACACACAGGAGAGTTATAGCTTGTGGTTTGTTGCCTGAGCCACTTCCATTTCCGAACAGAAAAAGATTCTGTGGTTCACAAATCAATAGAGGCACAAAAGATTCAGGTGTTTACAGCTGTGTATAAGCATATGGCACTAGCATTCTAATAATGTACCTGTTAATCACAAACACCAACTTGACATAGCTCACTGCTAGAGAATTTAGCTTGCATTTGTGTTCCTCTTACTCTTTGTGTGTGTGGTGGTGGTGGGGTTGAAGGCTATTGAGCATTACAGACTTACAAAGACAATGATCTTAAATGTCATCTTGCCTGACTGCAGACTGATGGTAGGGTTAGTGCTCTGTGGGCACCTGAACAATTCATGACACAGGTATTTACACTGGGACAATAGCAACACAACATGACAAGTTGGAAAACACACTACTTGATGTAGGACTACCCTCTTCAGTTGAAAAGCCATCTTGTTTGTTACAAAGCTGAGGGAAAAAAGGAGGAAGGAGAAGGAGTGCTTTGATGCTGTGATTGAAACCAAATAAAAATACCCTTGCTTTTTTATAGCATATGATGAACATACACATAATGGATTTAAGAAAGAAAGAAAACTGCATTATTTATAATTGGCTTGCGGACAGCCATCTCAGTTCAAAATGTGCCCAAAGTATATTTCTACATTTCAGTTATTCAGGCTGGACTAATATGCTTATGTTTTGAACTTGAAATTGCTTGTTATAGAAGAGAAGCGCTGTGTTCAATTAGCACTCTGAGTTCAAAGGGCAAAATCAAAATTTTCCTTACCTTCTCCAGAACAGATCCCTTGAACAATTTCATTTTTTATGTTTTTCAAAGAGTCAAACTCATGCACAAAGAAAGTCCTGCTCTCTGACCCTGCAATCTCATGTAGCTGTCCTTCATTTGCTTCTTTTACACCAATGGCATAAATATTAACCTTCTCATTCCTCAGGCTCTCAGCAGGCTCCTTCACACTGTCATGTGACTCCCCATCGGTTAGGACAATGAGGTGACAAGGCACCCTGCCGGCTCTCTGCTCCCTTGCGTTTTTAAACAGTGGCTGCATGAAAGTCAAAGCTTCTCCAATATAGGTATTCCCATATATTTGCCTAATGTTGTCAATGGCAGTCTCTAAATCGTTTGTTTTGCTGTATTCATGAAGTTCAAACTCCAGTCTTTTGACATGTGAGTACTGCACAGCTCCAAAGCGAACTTTATTCGGCCCTATGTTAAACATCTTAACCACTTCCTTCAAAAATTTTTTGATGTCTCCGAAGTCATTAGGATGAATGCTTGTTGAGCCATCAATGAGCACATAAATATCAGCTTCCTCTGTGTCCATACATCCTACATGGAAAAAGAAATTGTATACAGCATTAGTGCGAGAACAAAATTTAAAGAGAGAAGCATTGAGAGAAGCACCAAAGCAGATAGACATGTAATTAGGGCCCAGAGTTAACCAGTATTTATACAATGACACAAACCCAGGTGGAGTTCCACAGCGGCAGAAAATCTGCCAGAGAGTGAGGTGATCATGGCGCAACGTGGCTGCAACCTCAATGTAAAGTAACAATGGCTTAGAAATGCTGGTTATTTATCTTATGATACCTGGAGTTCTTCAGGTTATGTGATCCCTATCTGTACGCCACTCGAGGTGTGTATGCACTCCATGTGCCTAAGACCAGAAGATTTTTCAACAGCAGTGTCTCTTGGTCCACATCAGTGCCCATCATCTCCTTGTGCTCCAAGTCGAGGGCATAAGGGACCACATGGACTGACCACCTCTCCAGTTCATTTTCTACCATGAATAATCCAAGGAAGGGATCAGAAGCAGAGTGGAAGGAGGGTGGGTAGTGGAGACCACAAATCTTGGGACCACAAATCTTGAAGACCGCCAGTTACTGTAAGGTAAGTAACCAGAATTTCTTCTTCAAATGACGGTCCCTATGCGTATTCCATTCAAGGTGGCTCACAAGCAGTACTCAATGGTGCAGGGAACCCTGATGTGTTTGGCAGCGTGATCCTGCAATCTGAAAGGATACATCTGCTGACGAAACTCATTCTAGGGCATAATGCCTAGTAAAAGTATGCATAGAGCTCCATGTTGCCATTCTACAGATCTCCAGAAGGGGAACTCCATGAAGCAAAGCCACTGATGTAACCTGTACACCTTGTGTGGGAGGGGTCACCATCAACTCACAGCTTGATGCAACTTGAAATCCATTTAGAAAATCTCAAACGTATGAAAGGGGAAGCAAAGGAGACAACTAGATTAGGAGATTCCCTGAAGTGTTCTGTCGTCTGCAGGTAGAATGCTCAGGCTCAGACAATCCAGAATGGTGCTCCCTGTCTTTTCTGGTGGCATAATATTTGGGGCGGAAAATAGCTAGCTATATGACCTGATTTAAATGGTATTCAGAGGGAACATTTGGAATGAATATAGGGTGTAACCTCGAAGAAATCTTATCCTTATGGAAGACTGTGTAGGAGGGTCCACCTTAAGGGTCCCAAGTTCACCCACTCTTCTGGCCAACAACTGCAGAGACTGACTGCTTCTGTGCAAAGGAGAGTGGACCTCCCTATTCCTGTTTTTTGATATAGTGTACTGTAGTCATGTTAGATGTGACTTGACAATGTAGGATATGGATGAGTGGCAGGAATCCTTTTCAGCCTTCATGCACTGCCCAGAGTGTCAGGAGGTTGATGTTTAGCTTGGATTCTTCCTGGGTACAAGAGCCTGGAGCCTATCCAAGTGAGCTCCCTAACCCCATTCAGAGGCATCTGTAATTATCTTCTTGGGTGATGAGGGGATGAAGGGAACCCCGCCAGGCACACAGCCTCTGTTTTTCAACCAGTGTGATGACAAAACTCTGGGGCTGGAGCTGTAAAAACTTGCTTGTCCAGGCTGTGTTTGCTTGGACTATAAAAAACTGTCCACAACCATGCCAGCAGACACCAGAAATGCAACCTAAACATTTATGCACATTAATGATGCTGTCTGAAAAAAAAAAAGCTATTTACCTTAAAAAAACCAAAAAAACAAAAAAAACCCACACCACACTTGCTAACCCAATGAAAATAAAATAATTTAGGCACCAATCCCATACTGGGTTCTGTTAGCATGGACCCTCCTTTACACCTATGCAGAGTCCCACTGACACCAAGACATAAATTGCTCCACTAGGAGACCGTGATGCAGAATCTTTGCATGAATTCAATAAAACAACATGAACCAGTCAATATGTTAAGAAGATGGGTCTGAGCTACAGTTTGGATCCAGTTTCAGCTACAGAACTGCACTTCCTCAAAGGCTAAAGTTTGGAACTAGATCAAAAGTTCAGGGGGTTTTGGATCCAGTTTTTGGTTCAGGACCATCTCTACTTAAAAATCTTCCACCTAGAGAAAAGATAGAAATACAATTACTGGGAAAGGTTTACCTGTTTTAAGTAGTTCTCTTCTTTCAGTCTGGACATACAGCTTGTCCTGAATTTGATTCAAGAGTTTCTTTTGTAAAGTTCCGGCTTGTTCTGGCAGGTCAGAAAATGCCGTCAGCTTAGTAACATATTGCTGTTGAGGATATGATGCTATCTGGGTTAGCTGGGTGTCGTCAGCATTTTCAATGCCTATGGTGAATACAGTCACACCAGCTCTCCGAAGATCACGAGCTGCCTCACTTACGTTGTCTTCAGAGCGTCTGTGGGTGATCAGAATGGCTATTTGCTCTACTCCTTGGGCCTTTCTGCTTCCAAATTTTACACTGAAGACATTTTTCCTTGTAGCATTAATGGCAGCACCGGTGTTGGCCTTTCCTTCCCTCGGAGAAAAGCCCTTTATTTTCTGCAGAATAGCAGTTTTGTTTGTTTCTTTGCTCAATAAAGATAACAGGTGTGGCTCACTGCTATATGTCACTAGGCCAATCTTTGTACAGTTCTTCTTCACATCAAGAATGGAGACTGTATTTTGCAGGAAATTTTTAATATCTTCAGATTTTGGTTTTGAAACACCCTCATCTACTATGAACACAACGTCAGCAACAGAATTACAAACTGCAGTGGGAAGAGAGGGGGAAAATGACACAATATTAATTGTCTACTTCTTGGCCAATCCATGGAACAGTCTTCTAAAATAGTTTCCCTCATCCAGATTTATCTAGAAACACAGGAATTGCCATACTGATCAAATTAGCAGTCTACCTAACTCCAGCATCCTGTCTCCAGCAGTGGTCAATACCAGCCACATCAGAGGAAGCCCAAAGGAAAATGCCCATTAATTAGTTGTTTCAGGGCATAAACCAACAACAAGAGCTATTTTCTCTTGAAAATTACCAAATCTGCAAGAATAGTTACAGCTTCACTCCACCCACTCTCCATTCACTTTTGTGGAGCCCGGAGTTAGTCATGCAAAAAGTCATGAACAGATAGGCACTGGTTTTCAAAATGTCAGTGTTACATGCCTCTCTGTATACACAGGTACCTGGTCATGTACATGTCTGTTCTCTTCCTTATTTTAAAATATGCATGTCATTTAATATTTTGAAAATTTAGCCCAAAATGTTCAAGGTGTCTTTCTTTCTAACACTGAATTACTTCTTCCAACCAATATGATCACAATTTTTTCATAGCCTTGCATTCCTTACCTTCTTTCTCAGGAACACTCTCAATTATATCTGTTGGTATTATGCCATTAATATCTGTTTGAATAACATCCTCAATGATCTTGGTCATGTTTTGAGAAGACATACTGAGATCCCTCACTGTGCGAAATTTATAAGAAAATTGAGGTGTAGCCATTGACTGCAGTTCTTGAGGAGAAACATCCTGAATCCCCATGGCTATGATTTTTACCCCATTGCTTTTCAAGATCTTGGCAGGCTCTACTACAGCATCCTCTGATGCCCCTGAAGTCAAGACTACCAAAATTTGTTCTTTGTCTCTTCCGCTAGCTGGTCCTTTGAAATAGGTTCTGTGAACTTTTCGAAGGGCATTGCCAGTTTTTACTGAACCACCCTTGAATACAACGTTCTTTTTGACATGGTTCAGCATTGGGTTCTTTGCTTTATAGGTGTCCAACAGAAATTCAGTGTGCAAATCATCACTGTACTGGGCAAGTGCAATACGGTATTGGTTAGGAGTCGCTGTTAGATGACTGATCATTTTGCTAATAAAAGCCTTCATAGAGGGGAACGCCTTTTTTCCCAGGCTATTAGAGCTGTCAACCAAAAGGACAATATCTGCAGATGTAGGGGCTGCAAAAAAACCCCAGAAAATTAAATGTTATTACATACTTCTTACCCTTTAACTCTACAATACTCAGATGATAAAAGCAATGCTTCACAGAAGAATTTATCCAAAGATATCCAGAAACATAATGTCCAAAAGCTGAAAAATATCCTTCTAAGCCCAAGAATTCTCTCTCTCTCTCTCTCTCATATTTTAAGCTTATTTTAATATCATGAAAGATTACAAAGATGGGAATTTACTATCTGTTTGGTATCTAGGACTTCCCAGGAGATGTAGCTATTCAGCAATTCTGCTTCCTTTTTGAGATTTAATTTTTTTTATTTTTTTTTGGTATTTCTACTGAATGGGATCTGACGAAGTGGGTATTCACCCACAAAAGCTTATGGTCCAATAAATCTGTTAGTCTATAAGGTGCCACAGGACTCTTTGCCGCTTTTACATTATCTAGTGTTTCCAGTTAGAGAAATATCTCTAAGCGCTAACTGCTTTCACATCTGCCTGTAGTCACCACCCCATAGCCACAAACAATGCACTCTGGGTTATTTTTGCTAACATTCAGTTCAGCACATGGCACAGTGTAGTTCACCCTTAGTGTGGAGGACCCATGAAAAGTCCCCTGAACCACTTAGGCTCAGGAATTGCAAGGAATTGTGCACCGCAAAAAGAATCTCCATACTAACTCTACTGCAGAGGGCTGGGATGGAGGTGGCGCCCAAAATCCACATTTAGGCAGAACCTTATCCTTTGGCCCCAATTCCCAGTGCTAGTAGCTAAGAAGGGCTGAGACAACTACTCCACCTCTTATGGAGGAGTCAAGGTATTGGGGTGAGAGAAGAGGAGCTGCAGCTTTACATGGTCACACCAGTTTGGATGGGGAAAATTTCACCTCTTCCTGTCATCCCCATACTCTTCACTGGCACAGTCATAGTTTACCTTAATACAGTAGATTTCAAGGGTATGTCAGTGATCCAGACAGCCTTAAGTGACAAACAGAAGGGTTAAAATAAAGCACCCTTCCTCCTACTTTAACTTACACCACAGTAGATGACATCTGTCACATTCCTGAGAACGTATATTCTCTCCCATATGGAATCCTATGGCAACTGTGGACTAAGTGTGCAACCCTCTTCAGAATCTCATTGTGTTGTATGCCACAAAGTGGCAAAAGTTGCTTTTTCTTTTTGCCTTGATTCCTCTGTGCTTAGTTACGTGCCTGTCACAAGTGCTGATTGCCTCCAGCAAGTGGCTAATCATCCTTAACCTCCACTGAAGTCAATAGGAGTTGAAAGCCCTCAGTTTTTCTCAGAAGATCACCTTGCAGCATTGAGCCCCACTTTCCTCCTGAGCAACTTTCCTAAATTGTGCAACATGCCCACCCTATCAATCACATTGATCTGGCCCCCTCCACGGCCAAATTCTGCCCTAACTTACACTACATGCAATGCCACAATTTAGGTCTTGCTGTGCCTGGGATTTATACTAAGGACCCAGTTCTGCAGAACATTACATGTAGAATCCTAGTGACCCCAACAGAATCCATGTGAGTAGGGTGCAGGCCTGGATCCTCCTTTTGCACATGCTGAGTAATTAAATCCCAGGTACTCCCTTGAAAATAACTTAATTACATGTGTGGGCTTCATTTATACACTATCTGCATTTTCACCTCTGAATTTGGCCCTAATCTATATAAGTCTGTCAAGGTTTATGATAGCACTGATCAACCTAATATGTAAATCTAATGTCCATCTCCATTATCCAAACACAGTTTCAGTCTATTATACAAAGTCTCATAAGATATAGAGATCCTGATACAAGAGTCTCAGGCTTCACAATTGGGAAAATTGAGGACTAAATATTGTATTAAAAAAAATCACATAATACAACAGAATACAAAGGATACTGAAATACCAGGTGTCTGAGTTACTGAAGTTTGACTCCCAATAAGGAAGAGGAACAAAGTCAGCAACATCTTCATATTATGAATGAACGTTCCAAGCTTTAATTCTGGAAAAAATAAAATAAAAATCCCATATACCACAAAGACCCTGGAACATAACTGCATAATGCATTAGTATAAGGAAACTTATAGGGTTGGGAAAGATGTAGTCCAATCCCAATATGCTGTTATAAGAACCGAAAGCAATATAGATAAAGAAACAGGAAAACAGTAAAGGATACACTGTCTTCTTTATCCATGTGTAACACGGCGTGCACTCACCACCACGGCACCTCCTGCTAGTTACCTCGGGAATTAGCTCATCTCAGTGTCGGTGCGCCTCCTCCTGTCGCTTTTTGTCTTATCATTATAATTTCCACCACTGTAATTTAGGCACCGTGTCCCCTCCCTGCCCCTTCTCCTGGGTACTTTCCCTCAGCAGCACCCACACACATGGGGTCCTCCTCTCCCCAGGGAACCCCAATCCCCTAAGCCCACCTCACCTCAATGACCCACTGCCCGTCTTCATCTAGCCCCTTCCCTCAGGGGCAAACTGAAGTCTGAACTGGCCACTCATCATCAGCCAGGGGGTTGGACCTGATGCCTCCCCACAGCCCTAATACAACCTCTGGCCCTGACATCAAGGCCTCTGCCTGAGGGTTTGCCAGGCTGGAGCTCCCCCAGCTCCTCCTCCTGCCCTTTCCCAGCACTGTGCTGTCCAAGGTACCTTTTTCTCTATCCAGCTGCCAGGTCCATCTCTTTCCAAGGCTGCAGCCCTTTTATAGGGCCCAGGCTGGCCCTGATTGGCTGCCTCCCAGCCTTTTCCTGATTGGTTCCCAGCCCCAGCCCTCTCCAAGGGCCGGCTTTTAACCCTTTCTGAACCAGAGCGGGGTGACTGCCCTGCTACACCATAAAATCAGACATTAATTATTGTAATCTCAGCTGTGTGGCACCGATGCCTCCAACCTTCCCGCTTCATAGCTATTTAAAATGTTTCCAAGGTGATTTTAATGACATTATTTCCCCTTTGTACCTCTCCACTGGCTTCCCCTTCTCCACTGAAGCAGCGGCACCTTACCTTTCAAATCTAGTTTCTTATTATGGCCCTGACCCTCACCTTCGCTCTGCCAGTGACACCCTTGAGCATCCATTTATCTGCTTGTCACAGAAGCACCTTCCTGCTTTTTCCCATGCCACCCCACATGCTGGGGAAGAACCTTCTGACAACATTCACAAGCCATCACCTTATTCTCACTGAGATTCCTCCTTGAAACCTACTTTTAAAAGATACAAGCCTACAAACCGTTGCCACCTGGGACTGATTAGGCTGGCAGCCAGCTGTTACTAAGACCATGCTGAGTTATGCAAATGTGCCTGGCTTAGGGTTGCTAGGCAACTAGTTTTCGACTAGAACACCCAATCGAAAGGGGACCATGGCAGCTTTGGTGGGCGTAATAGTCTGGTCGGTGGTGCTGCAGGACTAAGGCAGGCTCCTTGCCTGCCCTGCTCCACGCAGCTCCTGAAAGTGGCCAGCATGTCCCCGTGGCCGCTCTGCTCAGGGGCAATCAGGGAAGTTCCGCTCGCTGCCCCCACCTCGAGCGTCAACTCCGCAACTCCCATTGCCCCTGGCTCTACTGTTAGTTTTTCCTTCTCTCACTGCCCCTCCCATTTGTCAGTTTATTCTCCTGTCCCGTACTTTCTAACTGCTAGATTGCAACCTGTCTGGGGGAGGGACAGTGCACAGTACAATGGGGCCTTAACCCTTGAGAAGGGTCATTAGGAAATACTGCAGTGTTCTTCAATCGGTGGCGTGCCTGGGCCCAGGTCTGGCCCATGAGGGCCTTCCGTCTGGCCCACTGGGCATCAGCTGTTCCATCCTGCTCCCTGCTGGTAGCTCTACTGTAGGGATGCCCCGACTACCTGGCTCCAGCTCTGCCCTGGACAGCGGGCTCCCAGCAGCTCCAGCCGCTGCCCAGTCCAGCTGCAGCATCCCCATGCTGACCTGCCTCCAAGTGCCCTGCCTGGGCCCAGCACCTGCTGGTTTGGAAGACACTCTGCAGCCTGGGAGGGAAAGGGGCCGCCTGGCAGGGGAATGCAAAGGCCAGAGCTGCTGGAAGTCCAGGGCGCACTTAAGCCAGGTCGTGGAGCTGCCCTTAGAGCAGAGCCACCAGTGGGGAGCAGGAAGGAACAGTTGGTGCCTGGTGGGCCAAACAGAAGTCCCTCATTCATGACTCTGGCCCCTTTCCCTCCCCAGCTCCAGAGCATCCTCTGAGTCGGCAAGTGCCAGGCCCTGGCGGGGGAGACCGGGGGCACTCAGAGATGGCTCAGCATAGGCACACTGAAGCCAGGGCTGAGCAGGGAAGCACAGGATTCGGAGCGCCCAGGACCACAGGGTAGACCGAGAGACAGAGTCAGCGATGAGTCATGGGGCCAACCTTACAGCAGAGCCCCCCAGCTGGGAGCAGGAGCTGAGCACAGGCAGAAGGAGGCAGGGACAGGACAGGCTGTTGGGGGGAATCATATGCTGCTTCCCTGGGCCTCTACTGCCCCCATCTTCCTCCCAGCTCCCCACACTCAAGGAGTACTAAGTAGGCTCCTGTCTCCTGCAACTACTCCCTGTCTCTCTCCCCCACACCCTCGGAAACTGAAAATCGTAATTACCCAAATGAGCATGGGGCAACACACCGCTGATTCAGATCATCAGGATTTTTTGTTATTTGGGTGAGTAACAAACACTTCCACTTCAGCTGTGTACAGAACTTCGACTCTCAATGCAGTCTGTCATCATGGACAGTGACTGCATGAAATTTCACTGTGAAACTACAGCTAAAAATATCATTTCCCTTAATCCCAATGCCCAAAGGTATCAGACATTCCCCCAAGTCATTTGGATAAATGAACTTCACGTGTATTTCATTTAGAATCTTTTTCATTTACATTTAAACACACTGGAGCTAGGCTGTGTGGATACATTTCAATTTAAAGGGGTACACTTTCAATCAGCCGCTTAATCAGGTGCCTATGCAACATAAAGCATAAGAACATAAGAACAGCCCTATTGGGTTAGACCAAAGGTCCATCTTGCCCAGCATCCTGTCTTCTGACAGTGGCCAGTGCCAGGTGCCCCAGAGGGAATGAACAGAACAGGTAATCATCAAGTGATCCATCCCCTGTTGCTCATTCCCAGCTTCTGGCAAACAAAGGTTAGGGACACCATTCCTGCTCATCCTGGCTAATAGCCATTGATGGACCTATCCTCCATGAATTTATCTAGTTCTTTTTTGAACCCTGTTATTGTCTTGGCCTTCACAGCATCCTCTGGCAAGGACTTCCACAGGTTGACTGTGCGTTGTGTGAAGAAATACTTCCTTTTATTTGTTTTAAATCTGCTGCCTATTAATTTCATTTGGTGATCCCGAAGTGATTAGTTCTTGTGTTATGAGACGTAGTAAACAACACTTCCTTATCTACTTTCTCTACACCAGTCATGGTTTTATAGACTTCAGTCATATCTCCCCATTCGAAGCTGAAAAGTCCCAGTCTTATTAATCTCTCCTCATACGGAATCAGTAATTGCTGTGCTTTTACTAGAGAGCAAACCCTGAAGAGCCCTTTGGCCCTGGAGAGAACCTGTTGGCCTGCCACGATTTAGATATTGCCTTACAATGTAATTGCATACCATTATACTACTAAAGATCACTACAAATAATAATGACTATTATTGCACATGAGGCTCTCTGCAATGATGAAAGGCAGCTTAAATGCTACCACTGTCCCTTCCAACTACATATTTCTCTGCATTTCAGGTTTAATATAAAGAAACTCCTAAGAGTTCATGTTTTACGGGTGTTTTCCTGTGTCCCTTCTGTATAGCTATTAAAACATAATATTTAAACAAATAAAAAACAGCTAAATGAGAATAGGGATTTATAGTGGTAGCTGTACAATGAAATGGCTCTCTGCATTCCATTGTGACACAAGACCTAGACGTACTTTGCTGAGGGATGTTAGGCCCAAGAGCCCTGAGAGCCTCTTATGCTTTTTACAGACGCTCAATAAACCCGTCTGTTTTACACTGGCTGAGTCACTGCAGTCTAGAGATCAGGGTTCCGTTATTCCCTCTGGATGTGGAGGCCCCAGGCTGACCGCTCAGAGAGGTGCAGTTCCAGGAGGCGGTGGAGCGTACAGCTTAAGCCCCGAGAGAGTGGACTCCTGAGAAGGACTGTCACAATGAAGGGGGTTCCTCCCAGGGACCGTTCGGAGCAAAGAAAGAGCATGAGTCCTGTGAGTCTGTAAAAACTTGTTGCTAAGTTACTTGTCTATGGAAGTACTAACTTCTGTGTCATGATATTTACTTATAGGTTATGTGATAGACACAGGCCAGTTGGGTACAGCAGAGTAGCCTTATTGGGATCTAGAAAGAGGGCGGGCTTTGCCCGCCCACTGCTAAAGGATCCCCCCCCCAGCCTAAGAGGGGTCCACAGGATCTGGAAACCAAATAATTACAGGGGACAACTAATGAAATAGCAGGTACAGGAGTGCGGTTAAAGGGTCAAACAAAGGGAACCAGATGGGGACACCGAGCAGAGAACCCCGGACAGTGCCTACTGCTCCTCAAAGGCATCAAGGGAGTCAGTGGACGCCACCCGGAGGAACTCTGCCCGGATACGTGAATGGACGGAGGGTCAGAAATAGGCCCCACAGTCAGGGGAGACTCCATCGGCCAACCTCCTCACCCTGGTTTTATAGATGGACACTTTAGCCAGGGTCAGGAGGAGGTTGACCAGGCGGTCCCGTGACTTAGAGGGGCACGGATAGGGAGTGCATAGGTAAGGAGGTGAGGGGAAAAATGCAACCAGAATCTTAACAAAATATTTGTGAGGAGCCAGAATAGGGGCTGCAGCCTGGTGCACTCTAAGTATATGTGCGCCAGGATTTTCCTCATGCCGCAAAAGGGGCAGGTGTCTGGATAGGGGTGAACTGTGCAAACGCCCATGCTCATGGCCCTGTGAAGGAGCCGCCAACTGATTTCCCCGGCAGGCCTCGGGACCAGGGTGGAATATAGGCT